CAAAGGTTTAAGGACTGCTGTAATGCTGTAAAGACAGAAACAGCAGCTGTTCCACTCCCGGCCACCTGTAGGTGTAAAAACATCTCCAGAACTAAATAAGGCAGCTCAGAGGTATGGTGCATCTCACTAGGTTCCTTGCTAAATACTCCTCTTCGCATTGTATGGTGCCCTGCTCCTTCCTAAAAAACAAAACAAACGCACGTTCTTGCCTTTCGGATTTTTTATTTAATTTAACCAAATTTATATACCGTTGGATTGTAGTAAAACCTCTAAGCAGTTTAGAAAAGAGTTGTCTACTTGGAGCTTTCTTGAAGAGAGAAGGCTTGGGTTTGAATTCATGTGAGAAAGTAAATGGAACAATTGTCAGAATGTGTTTGCGTAGCACAAACAGGCGTTTTGTGCTATTTTAGGCTGGAGAAAACATCCAGAAAACTATTGTCTGACTTGAAAGGGGTTTATAAAGGCTTCTGTACATTACCAGCCTGCCCTAACCTGGCACCCTCCATACGGCTTGGACTACAACTCCCATTAACCTTAGCCATGTACACAGCCATTTCTATTCTTCCACTGCCACGTCTGGTGAGGATTTGTAGGTTTTGTTTTTTTAAAAAAATAAACACAAAAATGTCAAAACCTGTTAACCAGAGGCAAAAATGGACGAGTCAACAAAACGTGCAGCAATTCCTCTTTCAAACTGTGTTGGCTCTGGAGGAACCACCCTCTCCCATTGTCTGCTTTCAAACTTAAAGAAGCCATTTAAGGCTTAGCCTAAATATTTTGTCAAGATTGCAGTAACTACTAGGTCTGCTCACAATTTCATTTGGAAGCGGTGCACAAGATGGGTTCGGCAAGTGTCAGGGTATTCACACACATCTCGCCACAAGCGTTTGAAAGTCAAGCAGACCTTCCTTTATGCATTTTCTCTTCAATGTCCAAAGCTTGCTTCTGTCAGATGCAGGACTCTGGATGAAGTAGACTACTAGTGAAACTTTCCACATGCATTACAGAAGGTTCTGGGGCATGGCCTAGGGCAGGGGTGAAAAATCTTTTTTGGCCTGGTGGCTGTATTCCCTCTGTGGATAGCTGTGGGGAGTTGCATTCTAGGCAGTGGATGGGGTCCCCCAACCAGTCAGGGCCAGATGTGCGCACAATCACACACCCTTAACACACAAACACTGAGACTCTTAAAAGGCTCTAGAATATTGAGTCAGAACATGATGGAGAGCATTGACTGGGACTCTTGAGCCTCCTGTTTTCTCTCATGAACTGAGAATGCATCCATACACACTTAGCTGAAGATTGCAGGAACAGATTAGTTGCAGTGGACAAGCAAACTTTTAAGGAAGTCTATCCACACATGGAGGATAGATAAAGCTGCCTTATACTGAGCCAGATCATCCACCAGGTGGTCCATTTAGTCCAGTTTTCCTTACTCCAATTGGGCAGGGGGTCCCTTTCTCAAAGCTATTACCTGGGACCTTCTACAAGCAAAGTATATGTTCAACAGTTGAGCTATGTTTCCCCTGTGAGGAATTCTTGAAAAACTTGCAAAGAACCCCAGGATTTCCAGGAACACTGTTTGAAAACTATGAGATACCCTCAGTCTGTTTTTATACCTAATGCCCCATCCTTCCTCAGAGCTGCTCTGTAAATTCCCAGATTGCTGCTAGGCCAAAGCTGTGTAGACAGTTGGTTAGAAATGCATGTCCACAGGTCCTGGAGAGGAAATCCATGGTTAACCAAAATAAACCACTAATAAGAGGTGGGAAGGCATAGCAAACTAAATGGCAAGTAGAGATGTTGATTGGGTTGCTCTCCATGGAGGATGGCTTCACACGAGGATCAGGAAACTGGATGAAGACCAAGTATTTTTGGATGGGAGGGAAGAAAGAGAGGCATGGGCCAAGAAACACTCAGGTGCATAAGCACTTAGCTGGCATTTCAGGCTATGATTCTGGTACCAGTTCTTAAGTTTCCTAGAAGCAGTGTGCATATGCCAAACATGCCAAAGCAAAAATGTAACATTTTGCCATTAGTATTAATGGGAAATGAACCCATCTGCAAGGAGTCTAATGACACAGCCATGCTATTGGCAGGGATGTGTGCAGTAATGAAAAAAAAACCCATCTTAAAGGAAAACTAACACTCAGAAGAAATAACGTTGTCTATATTAAATCATTTTTAAAAGGTTGTTGAATATGGATTTCTGCAGAAAGCAGAACTTCCAGTTATAGACTGCAGTGGAGGGAAAGGAGGAGAGTTGAAAGCAGTGCTTTTTTTTCAGCCAGAGCTCAGCTCCAGCACCTTTCAGGTGGGCGCCATTGCCATTCTAAGAGAACAAGGGGAAAGTTCATGGTGAGCTTTGGCACCTCTTTTTCTAGAAAAACAGCACTGGCTGAAAGGTAAGTTCTCTGTGAATAGGTCTGATTGTTAAACCACTCTGGGAACTATAGTTCTGTGAGGTCTTCTAACAACTCTCAGCACCCTTAACAAACTACAGATCCTAGCATTTTTTGGGAGAAGCCATGGTTGTTTAAAGTAGTATCACAGTGCTTTAAATGTATGGTGTGAATGTGGCCCAAGTCTTTGACTATGTGATGGCCCATCTGATAGCACCTGAAGCCCAGATCCTTCAACTGTTTCTCATATCCATCAACTTCCCATATTACTTTGTTCATAGGTTCACTTGGAAGACCCTGTGACTGAATTAATGCATGCTATGGGTTTCAACCTTAACCCACAAGGAACTATATGAGATGTACACAGACCAGAAATGTAACGGACTTGACATTATTTATGTTATTATGTGTGAGATAGCTTTACAATTTCCCTATTTATTCTTCATCATCTAAGTGTGCGTTCATGCAATCACTCCACATATAGGCAGCTGCTTCTTTCTCTAGTTTGGACAGCACCGCGTAAGTTGTGGCAAGCACATCATGGCATTGCTCAGCTCATCAGGAAGGTTTCTGAGCACATGCACCAACCTGATGTTTGCGCAGGTACCAAATGATTCAACCTGGCTACCATCTGAACATATACAGTTGAGCTAAACATCAGTGAAGGGGGGCAGAGCAGTTGTGTGAACTGTTAGAAGAAAAGGGGATACATTAAAGCATTACATCATTCTTAGGTTTCTCATTCCATATTAGCGATTTTATCCCTGGGGTACATTTTAGAGGATAAGAGAGATTTTCACTTTAGAAGAAAGCTTGGAGTGTGGTTGGAGGTGTGTTAAAGTTCTAAGGAATTTATGAACACAAGAATGCTAGGAGTAATTCTCTGAATGTCTCCTGCACAGGCCATTAGTGACAAGTCTCCCATTTTTGTGAACTGCAAGCCAGGACCATTTTTTTATGAACTGCAAGTGAAATGTGAGCTAGTTCTAACCTGATGTTGTGCCTTGCCTTGATAGCCTGTTCCTGCTGGCCCTGGAATTTCTATGTAATTATGAAGTGTGAATGAATAGCACTGGGTTTACAGCCAAGCTCTAGCAGCTTTCTATGCCGAAATTAAAGCATAAAGACCTGCAAATAGTAATAGTTGCAAATCCTACAATGGTATAGGCCACATTGCCTCAGGACTGCATGCCACGAGGCTGACGTAATTAACTGCTGTACAGAGGGAAATGAGTTTCTTCAGTTACAGTTTCAGGTAAAAAACAAAACAAAAAGCAAACCACCAAGTTACAGTTGAGTTAAAGATAAAGAGAAGGGCTCAAACAGAGATGGCCAGGTAATACAGATTTATATATGAATCCTCAAATAATATTTGCATTGTCCTGGATGGCCATTATTTGGACATTCCTTCTCAGTGAGTGGCTCTGTTCCTGAGGGAGTGGAGAGACAGAAATGCTAATATATGTTTGTTTTACAGAGATGAGTGATGTAGATTATTTACCTTTGCCTTGCTAAAATACCTTTTGACTGATACCTCGCTTACTTATGGGCTGATACGAACAAAAAAAGAGGAAAGATTTCTCTGCTTCAGGGGTTGGACTAGATGCTCCTCAGGATCCCTTCCAACTCTGCTTCTATGAGGACCATCCCTTAGCCATCATACTCGACACCAGTGAAGGCCAACTGGTGGCTCATGGGCTGGATCCCATCTCAGGAACTAGACACCCAGTTACCCTACCAAATACTAATCAACATGTGATTTTGCACTGGTAAAAGATTTGCTCATGGTTTCATTGTACTGTGACACGCATGTATATATATATATTAAACCAAATATATATAATGAGTACATGTTGGTCTCCCATATTTAAGTACCAAATGAGAAGCATAGGAAAAGCCATGCCTCCTACAAGATGTGAAGCAACATAAAGGAACCATCAGTATCCCTTGCTTTATGCATATGTGGAAGCCTTTACTGGCTGCACTTCATCCTTGCCTGTTGCAGAAATTGGTGAGAGAACAATGTGGGCAAACTTCAGCTTATGTGTGGGTTGCCTTTAACAGCTGCACCCCACAGAAATTGCTATTTCCATGCTGGGCAAAGCATCACCTGCTGATTCCTTCCTCCCATTCAGCTGTTAAAATCATGGAGGTGTCCCTAAGTAGGATGGCTACCCTAGGCTTACAGGGGTCAGATACTGTCATACAGATATTCCTGGGGAAATGTTTGGCCGGTGTGCCAGGTTCTTTAGCCACCCAGCAGGTGAACAGAACCCAGAGCCAGGTGGTGGCTTCCTACCAAGATGTGTTGCATCCCATTACACCATAACACCAACTCAGACAAACACAGAGCAGAAGTACCACCCATCCTCTCCCCAGCTCAGGAAAATTCCAAGCAATACACAATAGCTGAATACCACCTTAGGCTTACTCAGAATAGACCCACTAAGTTAGATCCATTAATTTCAGAGGGCCTACTCCTAAGTAAACCATAGTTGAAGATCATCCAATGTAAACAAATGGCATTATTCCATCATAAAGTTACTGAACACCGCCTTCTTCAGCACTACAATGACAGTGGAGAAGGGGAAAGATATTTACCTGCTATTAAACTTTTCCGGATGTTTTTCCCTCATCATGTGGAATCTGTGTGCAATGGATGCATCCTATAAAGAGAGATTGGGGGAGGGGGGCAATTAGTCAATGAGGCCTTCTAGATACTGAAGACAGTCTCATCAGAGTTCTGATTGAGGCGTCCCACGAAACTGCACAATGAGCACTTTTCACCCATAAATTGTGCTTTCAGTTTTTGTGGCCAACAGACCTTATACAGTGGTACCTCTAGTTACGAACTTAATTTGTTCGGAGGTCCGTTCTTAACCTGAAACTGTTCTTAACTAGAGGCATGCTTTCCTAATGGGGCTTCTTGCTGCCGCTGCGCAGCCGGCATACAATTTCCGTTCTCATCCTGGGGCAAAGTTCTCAACTCGAGGTAACTCTTCCAGGTTAGCAGTGTTTGTAACCTGAAGCATATGTAACCTGAGGCGTTTGTAACTCAAGGTACCACGGTAACTGATTGTAAAGTTAATTTTCCCCATGTGTATTTTAAAGTTATAAAACAGGAACACTATGGGAAATACAACATTTCTCTATTTCAGAGCACTCAGAGGTCATGCTGAGCTTCCAGGGCTTCCCAAAGCACCTCCTAAAGTTATTTGTGACAGAGTTAAAAAGTAAAGGTAAAGGGACATCTGGTTAATTCAACATTATGAATCCTTGTGTACTCTTGCCACTTTTCCCATGCTTCGGAGAGCTGCTTCAGAGGACCTGTTTATTGTGTTATTTGTGACAGAGTTAAAAAGTAAAGGTAAAGGGACATCTGGTTAATTCAACATTATGAATCCTTGTGTACTCTTGCCACTTTTCCCATGCTTCGGAGAGCTGCTTCAGAGGACCTGTTTATTGGACATGCATTCTGATTTGCTTGCACAAAACTTGTGACTAGTCTTTACTGAGAATTTCTTCTGAATTGTTTGCTTGGAGCTTATGTGACAATGAGCAATCATTCTACTTTGTTTGTGTGGTGTTTATGCATCATTCATTCATTCATCCCACACTTTTTAGTGTATTTTCCCTGTCACGTTCCTAACTGCCAAAATTAATAGAATCATATAAAGGTAAAGGTAAAGGTACCCCTGCCCATACGGGCCAGTCGTGTCCGACTCTAGGGTTGTGCGCCCATCTCACTTAAGAGGCCGGGGGCCAGCGCTGTCCGGAGACACTTCCGGGTCACGTGGCCAGCGTGACGAAGCTGCTCTGGCGAGCCAGCACCAGCGCAGCACACAGAAACGCCGTTTACCTTCCCGCTATAAAGCGGTACCTATTTATCTACTTGCACTTAGGAGTGCTTTCGAACTGCTAGGTGGGCAGGAGCTGGGACCGAAAGACGGGAGCTCACCCCGCCGTGGGGATTCGAACCGCCGACCATACGATTGGCAAGTCCTAGGCACTGAGGTTTTACCCACAGCGCCACCCGCGTCCTTGTAATAGAATCATAGAATCCCTTAAAAAAAGAAAAATAGTGGATTTGTTGCATCAGGGTCACAGAGTGCTTTGATACACTTTAATTGCACAAAAGTAAATTTCCAGTATGTACTTGAATCTTCCCTGCAAAATATTGACTGTATGGAGGCAACCCCAGCTTGAGTTTTTAAGATGCAGGCAAAGAATTGTAGCAGACCCTTAGAACGACAGCTTTTGAAAGGACAAGAATCCATTTTGTCTAGGCATATTATTCACTGTAATCTCCTTTGTACCCTTAGAATATTAACATAATCATTTTTAAAAGATCATCAGAAGCCCTGATCAGCATAATAAATCAACAGAGAATGCATCAAAACAGGCCTCTATGGAATGATCTGGCTTAAGCCTTCTTTAGTTAGCGGAAAACTTGTTATCCCACTTATCTATCATGGTTGTCCGCTGTATTTGAGCAGACATGAACCTCAAGTAGTTTTTGAATGGCCACATAATGCACACATACATAAACAGAGGTCACAAATAGTAACACAAGGGCCCCTCTTGCAGTCTCTCTGGGTTCAGATAGCCCAAGGAATGTGCTTTACTCCATCCAGGGATTAGCAGGCTGTTCATCATCCACATCTCAGTGATGGGGTGCAGAGGTGTCACTAGTCTCAGGGACTTTGCAAGCCTGATCTATTTGTAATCCAAAACTTCCTGTTAGTGATATAGCTGCTGGCCCACATTTCTCACAGCCCAAAAATAAAGGGGGCAAAAATGGGAAGCAGCATGTGGCAGCTTGGACTCAGAGGTGAAATGGCTTGTCATCGTCAGTGGTAGTATTTAAAGGCACCTTGTCAGCAATGAGATTTCATAGCACCAAAGCCCTCCAATTTACTTTCATTGACCTGCTAGCACCCTGCAGTTGATTATAATGCACAATGGATCTATGGAAATCGTGCCACAAGTTACACAAAAGTAACTTTCCTTAAAGATCTGTAAAGTGTTAAGAAAATTTAAAATTATTTAATGCAATATTAAGTATGGGCTATGGAATCTAAAAGGTCAGCACTTCAGTTATAGTCATTTTTAAGACATACTGGCCATGTCTGTAACAATTTATGACAACCAATCAATCACTTATAAATGGAACCTCAATATAACATGAGTCTGTTTTTAAACAAATGCTTCAGTGCTTTTTTTTTAATCAGCTGTTTCTCCCACCATGTCAGAACTCTAAAACGAGTCAGCTGTTGTGGGGAGCTTCTTAGCAACCCTACAACACAGGTAAAGTGATATCTTTTATTGGATCAACTTCAATCAGGGAAGGAGCATGCAATCCATTATGTTATACAGAATTCTTAACTGGGCAGAATAGAAATTCAGGTAGTTAAATATCAGGTACAGAAAGGAAAAGGCTGCTAATGTTATAGCAAGAAATCAGATTCAATAGTGCAGATATGCTCATGCTAATGCAATTAGTGAGGAACAACTTATAAAGGAAGCAATGGTTAAGTGGGCCATTGATATCAGGCATAATATTGAAATTGATGAGTGGGAAAAATTATGGAACCAAACAATGAACTACTCGGCATGTTACCAAGTAAGAGAAAATGTGCAAATACTGCAACGCAGATGGTATCTGACAACGGTCAAACTGGCCAAAATGTATGAAAGAGATTCAAAACTCTGTTGGGAATGTCTAGAGGCTGAGGGTACTTTTATTCACCTATGATGGAAATGCAACAGGGCAAAGGAATTTTGGGAAATGGTGTATAACAAGCTATTTTATTTTATTTTTAATTCACATTTCTCAAGAAACCGGAAGCATTCCTTCTTGGCATAATTGGGAATGAGTTACCAAGAAAAGCCAATAACTTATTCCTATATGCAACAACAGCTGCAAGGATAGTGTACACAAGATACAAGAAACAAAGAGAGATCCCAGGGAAAGAACAGTGGTTAAATAAGCTAATCAGGCTCACAGACCAATCTTGGCCCACCAAGGAGTCCAATTTTGACCACGGTGCCATTTTCTCAAAATCCCACCCAACTGTCAATCATCTGATGTTACTTGTGACATCAACTGATGGGTGGGGTTCAAGGGACTTCTGCTGTGCAGGTGATCCTTCCACAAGGAACCCTTTTCTCTCCCCATCATGTGATCAGGAGGGGAGAAAAAGCCGCCTTTTGAAAACATCACCTGCGAACAGGACTCCCTTTGCAAATAGCTGGTGCTTCCAAAAGGCAATTTTTTTGCTTCCCATTCCATCAAGTATGTGATGGGAAAGGGAGGATCAGCATAGGACAAAGAGCCATTGTTTTGCACAAGCTGATCTTCCTAGGCAGCTCTGAAGTCAAGAGCCTCAGAATGGGAGCCCAATTACATTTCAGGATTCACAGTTCCCTGTAGCTGAATCCTATTTTCACACAGGAATGCAGCCTTCCTGTATCCAGCTCTGTTCCTGACCACACTACCCACAAGATTGGGTCATGTGAGCCTTTGAAAGATCAGCTGACCAAACTGGCTAAGTCCCATGACACTCCTGTAGGTCAACTACCCATATTCTTGCATCACAGACTTCAGGATAAAGACTAACTGCTTTTTCTCTTCTCATAAAGAAGACTGTCTTAACTAATAATAATTATTATTGATGCAGAAGTGAGTCTTCTTAGATCACAAGTTTGCAATAAATTCTTATTGAGATTTACGAGTCATCACAGTCCCCACAATCTCCATTCTCAAGTACAAAACATAATTTTCAGTCTCAAATATGAGCTTTTTACAGCATGCCCATAAGACAAGAAAACTGCACTCCAACTTATAGCTGTGAGTTGGCTGAAGGTGTTGCTTGTGGTATGCATATATCTCACTGCTGTTGCTTTAGTTAGCAGGTTTTTTGGGGATGTGGGGGACTTCTAAAACATGTGGAAGCCATTTGTCCCTAGGTGACAATGGGACAGAATAGTATGTACACCATGGACAACGATGCTGCCATTGTATCACCTCCAAAGCCTATTGTCCATCTCCAGTCTGACACACAAAGTTATCTAGGGCTTCTGATGCTACAGGGGAAATAGGGAGGGAGATCATGGGAACGAGAGCTGTATAGACAGTGCTTACCACTCCTATGGAGAAGTAGTTGTTGATGATACTGTAAGGGACAGGGTCCCCATTCTCCTCTTTGTCAATAGGGATGACATCAATTTGCCATCGGTCCAGCATTACCTCTGCACTGTGTTCAATGTCCTTCAGGACCTTCATTAAGTTGCCACCTTCATAACCTTGAGAGTGGAAAAAGGGATGGCATATGGTAAGGAACAGAATGTCAGCGGTGGAATAGGCCAAGCATTAATGGGGCAAACAGTTGTGTTACAGAGAGTCTGGTAATGGAGGCCTCGGCGTGATGCAAAGCCATAAAAGAAGGCCAAGTGATCAGAAGCAGAGAAGGAGAAACAATCCTGGCAATGATTTGGGCCCAGCAACATCAATGGTGAATGGGGAACCATGCTCTGTCTAGTAGATAAGGCAGTGGGTTGGGTAAGATTGCAAGTTGCATGGTGGGTGTGGTAAGGTTTCTTTTTTAACGTATACTTTGAAGAGCTGTCAGTGATGGACAGTCTCCAGTGGTGCAAAGCCTGGACAATGACAAGTGGGATTAGAAGCAGCTGACAGGTTTCAACAGCACATGGGACTGCTGTCAGGAGGGATCAGTGGCAAGTCGTGGTGTGAGGTCGTGATGAATGACCCTACAGTGTTAGGCTGACTCAAAATACTTACCTCCGCCCCATCGTAGGCAGCGGGCAAGGTCATTGCCTGTTCCCAGGGGCAGGATAGCCACAGGAGGGTGTTTTGCTATGTTTATCTTATCTGCAAAAAGAAAAACAGACATTAGAAGCCAACAGATCGCTGGAGTCAACTTTCCTTTTTCTACATCACCTGCCATAGCAGAGCTAATGAGGACAGGATTTCCCAAGGGCAGAATGAACCACAGCTGTATCCCCTGGCTATACATGGTGTATTGGTGTTTGAAAGCAATTTGACCTAATATATTGTAGTTTTATACGTTGCTTTCTCAAACATGCACCTTTCTGAGCCCACGTCTGGCTGGGGAACTGCATCACAAAATTCGGAGAAGTGCGAATTTCAAAGGACAACCTCATTTCAATTAGCTTATTGGTGCAGCAAGTGTGAATAAAGTCGGTTTGCCTAAAAAGGCAAACCAATCTAATTTCCCACCCACCCCCATCTGTAGTTCCTTGAGCTCCTGGACCTCAGTTCAGGAGACCAAGCCTGCAACCCTATCTATGTGTGCAACTTTCAGAAAAGGGAGGCAGGAAAGCTTCTTTATAATGCAGCCTGCAGTCAAAGATGTGGCTGGTTAATGCCAATCAATATATGAATCAATATATGGTCCTGAGAGATCTGCACTGGCTCCCAGTACGTTTCCAAGCACAATTCAAAGTGTTGGTGCTGACCTTTAAAGCCCTAAATGGCCTCGGTCCTGAAGGAGCGTCTCCACCCCCATCGTTGAGCCCAGACACTGAGATCCAGCACTGAAGGCCTTCTGCTGGTTCCCTCATTGCGAGAAGTGAGGTTACAGGGAACCAGACAGAGGGTGTTCTTGGTAGTGGTGCCCGTCCTGTGGAACGCCCTCCCATCAGATGTCAAGGAAATAAGCAACTATCCTATTTTTAAAAGACATCTGAAGGCAGCCCTGTTTAGGGGAGTTTTTAATATTTAATGCTGTATTGTTTTTAACACTCGATTGGGAGCCGCCCAGTGTGGCTGGGGAAACTCAGCCAGATGGGCGGGGTATAAATAATAAATTATTATTCTTATTAATATGAAATTCAGCCCTCTCCTGCTGCAGGTCCACCTCCTTGGGCTCCTTGCCAAAGAGTCTTCCCAGCTACAAACTTTTCCTTGTGCGCACTTCAACAGTACAGAACTCTCCCTGTCTCCAGGCTGCATGAGAGGCATGCTTTCAGCCCCCGCTTTCTCATTTGTTGCCAACATCCATCTTTCTTTCAAGGGAGGGAAATCCTTGGCATGATGCTGCCAGAAGAAGGGAACTCCACTGAAGGAGCGAAAGGGCGCTCTGTTGTGGGGACGACAGAAATGATATGTCTGCAAACTTATGCATACTCACTTTGGAGTAAGGCCCATTGTTATCAGTGGATACCAAGGGCATTTCTCCTCTCAGTTCTTATCACCTGTGTATATTGCTTTGTCAGGTTGTAAGCCATTTGCAGAGGCTTGATCTTTTGTTCCAATTTGCACAACACTTCATTCAATATTAGATGCGGAATAATAATGACAATATTAACGGAGATGCAAATTGGGGAGGCGGTAGCGGGGGAGAGAGCAGCTGGCTACTCTTTCTGGCAGAGGAAGGAGGAGAAGATCATTGTGGCCAGGCTGTCAATCTGGAATCTTCAGCGCTACAGACTGCTACATTTCTGTTCATAAACATTATATGGGGCAGAGGTTCGTGTGGACATACAGTTCTAAACACAATGAGGATTGACGTAAGACAAATTAACCACCAAGGTCACTCAAATACTTTTTTTAAAAAAAAGTTTAAAAAGTCCATTTTACATGCATTTGAGTCTTCTTGGTGGATGAAGTGTGTGCATGGAGACAGGACTGGTCCAAGATATTTTGTAGTCTGAAGCATGGGGCAATCTGGAATCCTCATCAGAACTCCAAAACCCTCATAATCCTTGTATGGGAACAGAGGCGAGCATGTTTGAGTCTGTGTATGTAGATGGGGCCAGCCCAATACATTTTGCTGCCTGAGGCCAAGATGTTCTCCTGCTCCAGCTGACGGGACTGGAACTTGACTCTTGCACCAATCCTAGCAATGGGACGCTGTCCTCTAGCAGCAGGCTAGGTTAGAGGGCAGCGGAGTAGGCTGTGTGCAACAAAGCTCTGTCCCTCACTGCCACCCAGCATCTGCTAGCTGAGGTGGTTGCCTCACTCTGGCTAGTGGATGAACTCTAATTTCAGCCCCTCAAAGGAACACGGGAAGCTGTCTTATATTGGAGTCAGAGTTGGACTATTGGTACATCTGGCTCAGCACAGTTCACACCTGGCAGAAGTCCAGGGTTTCAGGCAAATAGCCTTTCCCAGCCCTACGTGCAGATGCCAGGGGCTGAGCCTGGGGAAGCAAGTGCTCTGCTACTGACCTACTACAGGACACCCCCCCACTCTCTCTTACACAGTAGTGACCTCAGGCGTATCAGCTATCCAACGAATCTAATGTACTTTGATCCATGCAGCATCCCTGGATCCCAATTTACCTATGCAGTCCAGGATCCATCCAACGGTCCCATCCCCTCCGCAAGCCAGAATACGGAAGTCTGGAGCATCACGGAAAAAGTTTAAACTAAGAGAAAGCAGAAGGAAAAGGAAAAGGTAGGAAAGCTCTTTAGAATAGCTTGCTTGCCATATATGGGAAAGAACACCACATCTAAACTGCTTTTTAAATTCACACAAAAACAAATGTGAAAAAAGGCACAGCAGCCCTGCTGCTCTCCAAAGTCCTAAATCATGCAATTCTTGCTCATTCTCAAGTTTGCAACAGAACAAAACAAGGAAAACCAGTGAAGAGTCAACCTGCACAGCAGACATTCAAGAAGAACACCCATAAAGGAATACATGACATTTGTAAGAAAGATCTGCATGAAGGGGAATTGTTGTTGTTTTATAAAATCCATGCAAACTTTGGACAAGATCTAGCAGCTGGTTGCTGCAACAACATCCAATTGACAGCAGTGCGATGGGCCTTAGCCACAAATAACTTTTGCAGGATTGTATAATTTGTATTCAGGTGTAATATCCACAGGTATTCCATCAGGAGTATGTAGAGTCCCAGAGCCCAAAGGTTTGTTGCCTTAAGACAGACATGGCAAATATCATAAACTCCAGCACGGGCTCCACGCATAATTCTAAAGAATTGGCAGCAGGCTGAGTTCCTCAAGCTAAGGTATGTTAAGAAGCTTCAGCGAGAAGGGAGGTGGAAAGGGAAACTGGAGAGTGAAGGTGAGCAAAAAGCAAATGAGGAGTGAGAATGGGCAGCACAACTAAGAGGGAATAGTAAGGATAGCAAAATGGATGCAGGTTGATCAATGGATTTCAATACCCAGGAGTGGGTCCTCCTCGATCCAGGTTGTAAACTTGTCTGGGGTTGAGTAGATAATGGAATTTCCGATGAACCCTGAAAGTAAGTAAGAAAAACAAGAAGTGATGGCCCCTAAAAAGGAGAGTAAAGGCTAGGAGGAGGGAAATCTGTCAGTTTCACTGTGTCTCAATTTCTCATTTTTCCAGTCTTAAGTTCTCCACATTTCCACACTAGTTTTCATTTTTATGTTTAAAAAAAGTCCTCATGAAAATTCATCAGAATTTTAGTGCAAATTTCTCCTAATATTACATGTTTGCAAGCAATTTTGCCCCCAAACACACATTTTTGCAAATCCATTTCCCCCCATTATAATGCACACTTTACTGCAATACATTCATTTTTGTACTTATTACTTGGCCAGAGAATTGCACTACAAGATTTGAAGAATGCACATTTTTTTAGGATGTTTGTGCATTGTTTTGGAAAGTGAGAATTAGGGAAGTTTGCCTTTAAATGTGCCAATTTCTCCCCTATCCCTAGCCAAAGCAGATGATTACACTTTCTTAGCATCAGCTACTCTCTACCCACACCACATCCTGCTCAGGGCAGCTCCATAAGTGTAGCAAAAGTTGCCACCTTCATATTCAGAAAATGGAGGGTGCTTTTGGATTGATGTTTACTGCACTGTGGACCCATCTTTTCTCCTTTTTCTTTATTATAAATTTATTTAAATTTTCAGATTTACAAACAATCATCAAGCAAACAAATAAAACCATTTCCATATGGAAATCTTTTCTCCTATTTCTAAGCCCCCTCTCTGAAATGTTTGCTTCATAAATACTTTTGAATTACAGCTGTCCTTACCAAGCCAAAGAGTTGGTGATGTCCCAGGCACCAGATAACAGGTATCAGTGACAGCCTTGCAACCACATTGAGCAGTGCTATCTGAGGTATTTCCCAAGCAGCACAATATTGCGGTTTGATTGCAGGGAAAATGCAATCTCTCTGCTATTACTTCCTTAAGGGAAGGTGTTTGCATTAGGTAAAAGGTAAAGGTACCCCTGCCCGTACGGGCCAGTCTTGCCAGACTCTAGGGTTGTGCGCTCATCTCACTCTATAGGCCGGGAGCCAGCACTGTCCGCAGACACTTCCGGGTCACGTGGCCAGCGTGACAAGCTGCATCTGGCGAGCCAGCGCAGCACACGGAACGCCGTTTACCTTCCCGCTGGTAAGCGGTCCCTATTTATCTACTTGCACCCGGGGGTGCTTTCGAACTGCTAGGTTGGCAGGCGGTGGGACCGAACGATGGGAGCGCACCCCGCCGTGGGGATTCGAACCGCCGACCATGCGATCGGCAAGTCCTAGGCGCTGAAGTTTTACCCACAGCACCACCCGCGTCCCTAGCATTACTTACAATGATTACCAAATGTGTATTTACTGTACCAAAAACCTCTATGCTGCAGAGGGTACAATTTTCCAATAGGAGGAAGGGAAACATACCTTTCTCCTTGTCTCCCTCCACTCTTGGGGTTCACAAACACCAACAGTGGATGCGTTCCAGGCTTAGGGGTGATCTAGAAAGCAAATTACAAAGCAAACAAAGAGCCTCCTTATACAGCATACAAAACATCATTCATGCAAAATGGGGGGGAATGAGTCATATGGCACTGCCACAGAGGAAGTAAGGCATGCAACTGGCAACATGTTGGATCAGCAGAATCTGGAGAAAGCTGGGAACCACCAATCTGTGCACTTATTCTTATCCACACCTATTCTGTCTATGGCCTTCTAAGCACACGAGCCACAGCCTCAGGAGCTCGGCTCTGTTTAATATATACATCCTTTGACTCAATAATGTTTGCCTTATGCTTCGCAAATATCCTCTTGTGCGCTTCCTGATATACACCTAGAGACTGAACTCTTTAAAGGACAAGGCAGGCATTGCTATTGAGACAATATTAGGTTAGCAGAGCTTCAGCAAGCTTGGGTTCTGTGGGGAGAGCTGCAGAAGGATGGATCCAAGGGTTAATCTATTAACCATGCAAAATTCAACAGGGCGACTATCAAAGGATATTCCAGAACTAGCTTCATGGGGAGACTAGGATAGGGGTCAGCAAACTTTTTCAGCAGGGGGCCGGTCAACTGTCCCTCACACCTTGTGGAGGGCCGGACTATATTTTTTTGGGGGGAAATGAATGAATTCCTATGCCCCACAAAGAACCCAGAGATGCATTTTAAATAAAAGCACACATTCTACTCATGTAAAAACATGCTGATTCCCGGATCGTCTGCAGGCCAGATTTAGAAGGCGATTGGGCCAGATCCGGCCCCCGGGCCTTAGTTTTCCTACCCATGGACTAGGAAATCAGTGCAGAATGACATCTTCTCCCTGGTATGCCTTCCTCCACAACTAGCCTGCAATTTAGGCATGGTGCACAAAATATAATTCTGCAGGCACACACACACACACACACACACACACTCATTCACAAGTGTAAGAGAAATGTGAGAGAGCAAGTGTGATGTACTGGTTAGAGTGCTGGACAAGGGGAGGTTCAATTCTCCACTCAGTCATGAAGCTCTTTGGGTGAACTTAGGGCAGTCACCACTTTCCAGTCTAACCTATCTCACCAGGCTGGTGCTGAGATACAGCAGGGATGGGAAGAACCATACATGTTGAGCAGGACAGAAGTAAAATCAAAAGATATGATAGCAGCATCTGTGAACTGTCTACCTGTAGTCCATGCCCATCCACCGTGGTGGTGTTGTATCTGAAGGCCAGGGTTGTATCATCTGGGGATGTGCTGGATGGCGATTCACTGTCTGATCTTCTTGGGTGGGATTGCCTATCCTTTGGAATGGGGAAAATGCATAAAGGACTTTGAAGCATGGATGAAGGCCAGCAAATAACAAGGAAGCACTGACAGCATAAACAAAGTGGGAAGGATGACTTCCTCCTGACTGGACTGAAATACAACAGAAAGACCACGAAAGCTCCAAGAGTTAAGTTAATAACATATTAAACTTTAGTATTAAAATACTGTCTGTCAAGCAACACAGAATACAAATACGCAGATAAACCATCAATAATACATTGTATGAAGTGCAAACTGTATCTGAATATAGTGAGCACACAGTGAATGGCACTGAAGGCCTGAATCAGTCATTCCAAAAGTAGTTTAGAAAGTTGTGTACACAACGATGGCTCCAAAGTTCAATACTTGACTTGCTTCCCAGGCTGATGTTGTTCCAAGATTTATATTAACTTCAAAATTCCACAATCTGCACAGCTGAAAAGCTTTCTGAGAGGCCCATACACATATTAAGAAAAGCTTTTTATATACATGTTAAGCTTTTTCACGTGGATTTTTAAACACTGATGCAGCTTTCATGATGCTTAGATACCTGAAAAGTGAATGAATCCAAAATATTTATACTATTCTATGCTTAATCATATTTATACTGCAGTTTTCGGCCAAAATTGGATCTCAAAGCAGCCTTACAAGACTAAAAGCATCACAAAACCTCATAGATTATTCTGAATAGCAATAGTAACAGAAGAATAAGTAAATATGAGAAAAATCCAGAAAAGTGCACCACATAATAAAATTGCCAAAAATTTCTTCTTTAGTAAGTATCTCCAAGAGCTTCCTTCACTAGGATCTAATTCCCAGCTCTGTTTTTCCTTAGCAGTAGCAAAAGGGAAACCCTGGGCCGTGATGGGGTTCCAAATTATTACAGCCATACATATGCCAGCTCAGTGAATTCCACATCGGGTTAAAAAACAAAAACTGAGCGGACTCTTATAAATCTTCTGAATCCATTCCCTGTTTTAAGGTGTCCAAGTATGGTGTTTGCCATATTTTAAAATGTCTGTGAACCCCTTTTCGAAGCAAATGTGGAGATGGTGGAACTGTGAGATTCATGTCAAGCCCCGATCAGGGAGCAAGTCAAATATTGAACTTTGGAACCATCATCGTGTCCATCATTTCAAGCCACCGTTGAAGCGATTGATTCAATATGATTCACTGCAGGATCACAAAATTAAGAAAGATTGTTTGCACCAGTAGTGGGTGGCATGGGGGGGACGGAGGTGCTTACCTGAACGCCGCGCTCGGCTGCTTACCAGGAGGGAGAGGGGGAAAGGTGAGGGAGTGGGGAAGGCAGTGCGGTGTCAATGCACTGGCAGGAGCAACGCATTGGCTCAGCTGCTTCGTTTGCACTGCGCTGACTTTGCTGCCACCTCATTCCCCTCCCCCCAGTAAGAAGCAATGACCTGCTTTCTGGGAGGTCGGGTAAGTGCCTTTGCCCAAGCAATCTGTCCACTACTGTTTAGCACTTTATGAAATGTATTACTGAATGCTTATCATCATGGCACTGTTTGACAGACAGCATTTACTATATTATACATTAACTTTGGGTCTTCTGTTATGCATTTTGGGTGGCTGCATTTCCACTAGCAAGTAATAAGGTATGTTTTAATTTCTCTCCCAGTTCCAATGGTTTCTTCCCCCATGGATTTACAAGTTTATAGATTCTGGAGTGGGACATAAATCTGATGATAGAGAGATAGATAGAGAGAGAGATGTCCTTGGTTTCCTGTTTTTAAACTTTATTCACAGAATGGTTTTTAATTAAAAAAACTGCTACTGTTCTCCATATTTAATGTGCAATCCAGATCACTGGCATTTTCATGATTTTTGACCTCACATATACATTTTCTTCATTGGGACTCAATTACCAGCTTTCACTATTTCCCCATTTCTCATAGTTCTGAACACAGGAAAAAGTAGACATAGCATTTGAAAGTACAATGTTTGTACCACCACAGTTTCCTCATTAGGAAAGAGGAAACTTCTTAATTTGTGGAAGTTGTGGAGCACTCTTTCCAGAGAGGTGTGTTTTAAATATTGTGCTTTTAATTGTTGCAACCCACCCTGGGACCTTCAAAGATAGAATGATCTTTTAAAAGCATATGCAAAACCACAAACCACAAAATAAGAGGTAGATTATATGCAAAACCTGAGAAGGAAATCTCTCAGCAATTGTCATTTTTGAGCCTGTCCATCTTACAATCTTGCACACCTTGGAGTGCCTGTGCCTAGTCCAAGTAATCACAAAGTGGCTCCAACACAGGGATAGGCAACCTACAGCCTAATCAGGCCTGACAGGCCTTGGAGGTTGGCCCACTAGGCCACTGTGGGCAGACCATGCCCACCTTTCCAACGCTTGACATCATATAAGACGTCAAGTGGAGGAAACTTGTAGCTAAAATGAAGCTGGAGCTAAAATGAAGAAGATTTGGCTTCCGATTCTTCCTTTGAATGCAAAGGACCTTCCTCTGCAGGCAAGACTTGAGCAGCACCTGAAGAGAAAAAAAATGTTCCTTTGGGTCATCTGATGTCATCCTGACATAAGGTGATTGACAGGCGGACAGCACTACCCACTTGCCAAAATAGTCTATGTGGTGCTCAGGATCCAGCTAGATCACTTGATTTTGCTCATTATCCCTGCCTGCTCTAACAAGAGAAAATGCTTGTGCATAGACTACATCATATGGCACAACACTCTTCCTTTGAGTTTTTATTTTCAGCTACTTTCTTTTCTGCAACAAAGCCTAAGGCTGTATGCTAATGATTATTTATTTGAAACAATTGGAGTGATTTTCCTCTTCTAGCAAGCCTCAATTCACTATTAGTAAACTGATAGCTGCATATAGTTAATGGAGTAGCGGGATAGTATGGTAGCAGTAGCAGTGGCTCGATACGAAATGCCCAGATTGCAAGCAGTTTGTCATTCAGCCTTCTTAGGGACACACCGGCTTTCTAGTAATGGACATAAGAGGCATTCTTTAGCAGCTCTACAAGATAGTACCTTAGTTTTAAGTTAACAAAATCAGTTTGGATGGGTTGAAAATCTTAAGTTTTTGAGAGAGCATCATCTAGCGACCTTCATATGTGAGACAGAAAGTGCCAATCATTAATTTCATAGGTGTCAAGCAGACTCGTTTACCAGAACAACTGGGCAGATGTGCGAAGGCAATAAGATGTGGTCCTTGAGCTGCCCACCATCACACTCAGGCTTCACATGAGAGGCACATTTGTTGTGAAGCTGCAAGAGGAGAAAACACAGCACAAAGATTCTCTTTAAATATATCTGTAAAAAGGAAGGCTGTTACAAGTAATGGCAAGGTGGTTTCTCTAACTGGCATTAATAAACAACATAAATAAATGTTACCTGGCGAATATTACATTACATGTTGGAAATGTCAGAAGACAAGAGGGAACTATTATCATATATAGTGGGAATGCAAATTTGGGGGGGGGGAGAGAAAAGAAGAAGAATTGGGGGTTAGGCACCGTATTTTTCGCTCTATAAGACGCACCAGACCATAAGACGCACCTAGTTTTTGGAGGAAGAAAACAAGAAAAAAATATTCTGAATCTCAGAAGTCAGAACAACAAGAGGGATCGCTACGCAGCGAAAGCAGCGATCCCTCTTGCTGTTCTGGCTTCTGGGATAGCTGCGCAGCCTGCATTCTCTCCATAAGACGCACACACATTTCCCCTTACTTTTTAGGAGGGAAAAAGTGAGTCTTATAGAGCAAAAAATAGAGTAACTTTCAAACAGAAAGCATCCTAGGATTCACTGACTCAATTATGGTAACATTGTGGTAAAAGATGAATGAATATAAAAATTAGTCTTGTATGTGGTCCCTGTGGATGGGGGACTGCTGATTTGGGAACTCCAAGATCAAATGGAGCCTTTCCTGAACTGGGGAAATATGTCAGGGTGAGTGGAACAAACCAACTTATAGATAGTGGAATGGCTTCTATATGTGCCAGATGATCCCAGGCTCATTGTACCAAATCAAGCAAGTAACAAAGCTCAGTCACATTCCATGGCTTCTCAACAATATTCAGTGTCGTGACCATTTTCACAATCAGGAGAAAAGCCGAGGAACAGATTTCTTATTTATTCACAGGCATGCCGTGATTATTGCCAATATAGGAGAAACATGGCCTGCTGATGTAGGAGGTGACTTGCCTTGAACAGCTTAGCGTTCTTTAAAAAACACACCACCACCCTTGCTTCACGTACTCACTGTGATTTGGCACCATACACAATGCAGTCCGGTAATGCCCTGGTAGCTCTTGATGCTTTTATGACAACGGTCACATTTGGCTGGGGAGTTCCCCTCAATCCATGTGTGCTGCATGACCTAGAAATGCATGAGACAAGGTGATCCATGCTGGAAAAGAAATTCAGGCACTAAATATGAGGCAACAAAGGAGAAGAAATGCTCCTGAATGAGCGTCAGAATTGTTGTTCCTTCAAATGTTTCAGGATATGCTTTTGAAGCGTGGGATAAAGAAAGGAATGGGAAAGTGGGTTTTTTTTGGGGGGGGGAGAGTCTGTGATCCAACTATCGTGGTGTCTCATGAGCCTTCAGCTAAACTCACTCTATGATAAGGCAGGCTACTCACAATTTTAAAAGCCATTGGTATAGAACATTAGATGGATATTTTAGCCATAATGTCACAATGAACTGCTCACATGGGCATGCACAATCCAAAAATCATTGACTTTCTCCATTGCTTCTCTGAGTTCTTTCCCAGTCTTGCAGCCTCTGTTTCTGCTTTGTCTTGACCTCGCAGCTATGTTTTAGTACCAGCTGCAGCTCTGGCACAATGTTTTTTGATGTGCCGCTCTCTCTCCGACTACAAACCCAGCTAGAGTTCCAGCACAATTTCCTTATACATTGAATGACAGGGCTGATGACCATCCTGGGGGAAGATGCTTTCATTCAGAGTTCAGGGAACCTGGAGCTGCTGAGCTCTAAGAATGTAGGACTCTGCTGCCAGAAATGGGCCTCGATGTTTTGCTGTTGAGCGTTTGCTTGCCTAACCTCCTCTGGAGAATTAGCCATATCTGCAACAGTTGCCCAGAAGGCAGATTCCTCCCTTTTCAGTTTGATACTTATAAACTATTCCAGCAGTATGGCAATTTGTTGGTAGCCTATAAAATACAGGTCCTTCTTGGCACAATAGTAGGGCTCTTATGACTGTGTGGACAGCATGATCTGCATTGCAGACGGCCTGCCTTAGATGGAAGGTCATCAATAAGTGAACACATGCACTAGGCATTCATGAATGCCTTACTCACAGTTGTATTTCTCTTTGATTTCACGTAAGTGCTGATGCAGGGGGCAATCTCTTTGGACACGCATCTTTCATGGACTGTGTATTTACAAACTGTAGAGAAAAAGAAAAAGAGAGCAGCTCTAAGTTCACCCTATATTCAAGGCAAGCAGTTTCTAGCTATTTCATTAAACACACAAGACGTAACCGGCTGTACTTTTGAATAAATAAGGTATACTATTCATTGTATCAAATTGTAAATTTCAACGGAAGTCTCATAAAGTTCAACAAAAAAGCAGAAGACCCAGTGGATCTGTTCATTCTCTAGTCAGTTCATGCATAAGGTGCATACATGTATAAGTGTCTATTCCACCTGTCTGTTCATGTCTGTACAGGCTCTAGGTAATGCAAATAAATACAATATCGTAATCTCACACATTTTACTTCATTCTACTGATGAAGCCTAGGATGGCGAAACAAGGCCAATATTCCAGAAATCCTTTCTCCTCATCTGTCTTGGGGATTCTGGCATTGTTGGCTCCACTTCATTCACATGCAGGTCAACAAAGGGGGGGGGGGATCTTACATGAGCATTGTACAAGCAGCCTATCTGGGCACTTACAGGAGCAGCACAGGCCTTGCTTCCTGACGCCCAGCAGCATAGTGCGACAAAAGTTGCAGTAGGCAGGCTTCTTGAAGTGCTTCAGCCTCCATGCATGCTGTCCATCATCCTTCACATTCTACAGGGAGGGGGAAAAGTCCATTGAGATGGAGTGGAAGATACAGAGGAGAGATGGCGTCTCTTGCAGCACCTTTTGCAGGATAACCTTTTCAACTCAGGATGACCAGAAACGCAATGTAAACTACCTGCAAACTGATTGTCTGAACTGGTCCATTTACAGCCTCCACAGCCTACTAACATTTTTGAGGATGCCGTTAGAAAATGTAAAAAAATAACTTAGTTACGATGTAAACAGATCTTCATAAAGCCCTTAATTAACATACAAGAGAAAGATTTTATGGTGTATCATTCATTATCTATACTATTTGTTTAATGTGGTATAACCATTTAAAAAGGAAACAGAAAGTCTGTAAAGGTGCTAGATTTTCCGCAGCTTGAAGGCAGTATCTATCAAAATTATTTCTATACTATGATCACTGTAACACACAAATTAGGTTGTTTTTTTTTGTTTTGTTTTTTTTGCTCTACCATGTTTTCTAGCCAGGCAAGTTTCACCAGTTTCCAAGGGACATTGAAGAGATATCAAGAATAAATGGGCAATAAAGGCTTGATCGTAGTTATTTAAAATGGTATTATATGAAGAAGAAAGGTTTGATGGAGAGTAAAGGTAAAGGTAAAGGGACCCCTGACCATTAGGTCCAGTTGTGGCCGACTCTGGGGTTGTGGCACTCATCTCGCTTTATTGGCCGAGGGAGCCGGCGTACAGCTTCCGGGTCATGTGGCCAGCATGACTAAGCCGCTTCTGGCGAACCAGAGCAGCGCACGGAAACGCCGTTTACCTTCCTGCCGGAGCAGTACCTATTTATCTACTTGCACTGGAATGCTTTCGAACTGCTAGGTTGTCAGGAGCAGGGACCAAGCAACGGGAGCTCACCCCATTGCGGGGATTCAAACCACTGACCTTCTGATCGGCAAGACCTGGGCTCTGTGGTTTAACCTACAGCGCCACCTGCGTCCATGGAGAGTATGGTGAGTCAAATATGACAGCATGAATGCAAACAGAACAAAGGCACCTAGGCATCCTTTATTACAGGCATGAATGTTAGGTAACCTCAAATACTCTCTTCTGATTGGTGGTGGTGGTAACTGGTACCTCCATTTGGTACATAAGAACATGAGTGGAAGCTTTTAAGCACCAAACCAAATAACTCTCTCACCTCCTACTCACAGAAGCTATTCCTTTGTGCACATAAGAAGAATGTGTGAAAATGGATTCCTCCAAGTGCTTTTTTCCAAAGTCACACACGCCTACGTATGCCACATCAATACTTGCAAAATACTGCTCTGCTTAGCAGCTTAAAAAAAATCAAAATAAATATCTGGCTTTAGTAGCCCCCTTACAGAGTGAGCGACACTCAAACATCCTCCCATTGTGGAATGTCTTTATAAACACCTAGTTCTTGTCATGGCACAGGGATCTCTACCCCCAAATTGAGAAAAACTGTCACACAAATACCCAATATGCATCACAAGAGCTTCATGAGCATGGCCATCAAGGGCCCATTGTACAATCTGCAGATTCTTCTTCTTTCTTTTTTTTATAAAAAAAATCCATTTCAACCAAACCATTCGCTATAGAAGGGCATATGATGGGCAGTACTCTGTAAGGACAGGCAAAGCAATGCCTACTAATTGGGGCTAATGGGAGCCAGCCAGGAAATGTTAGAACTGGATGAAATCCACTGATGTCATGGTCCAGGAGACAAATGAATGAGAGACTGTGAATGGTCAACTAGTTCCAGGAGTTCCTAGACTCAAGGACTTAAGAGATCCATGTGGCCAGGTAGGATAGGTCATCTGCCACCAAATGTGGTCTTGGGTGGCTAAATTGGGATTCTCGGGTTGCAGGATTAGAGAGTTGAGGCAGAGGAAGAACTTCTTGGTAGTGGCGCCCTCCCTGTGGAACACCCTCCCACCAGATGTCAAAGAGAACAACAACTACCAGACCTTTAGAAGACATCTGAAGGCAGCCCTGTTCAAGGAAGCTTTTAATGTTTGATGTATCACAGTATTTTAATATTCTTTTGGAAGCCGCCCAGAGTGGCTGGGGAAGCCCAGCCAGATGGGCGGGCTATAAATAATAAATTGTTGTTGTTGTTGTTGTTGTTGTTGTTGTTGTTGTTGTCGTCGTCATCATTATTATTCCTGAGGTTGGGTTTCCAGGCAGCGGTTCCTTCAGGATCTGAAATTGGTTATCTATGTTTCTGAATGATTGGGGGGGTGGGTCAGGCTTTGAAGTGGCAGAATATGAAATTAAACAAAACAAAAAGAGGTTCACAACCCAAAACTACTTGATTGCATCTAACTTCTATCTTTATTAAAGTAAGCTACATTTACCTCCTTTTTAGTATTTGTTATAATTCTTGTTATAATTCTGTTAATTCTGTTAACAAATTTATTGAATGCCAGCAGCAGTTCATTAATTTTACTTGTATAAAACAGATGTTATTTGAGAAGCTGACTTTTGACATTCTGCTGCCCTCGTGTGGTTTAACTTTTGAAAGTAGCTGTATTAAAAGAACAAAAACCTTTCTTCTTTTCCTTTGCTATCATTGACTTTATTCTGTGCTCTTTTTAAAGTTCTGTTTATCTGAAAAGGGCTTGTGGAAAATATGCTCCTTGAGAACTGCGCCTGTGAGCTATTAGGACCTATGTTTGTTGACCTTGAAAACACAATTGATTTACTGTATTTTTCGCTCTATAAGACGCACACACATTTCCCCTTACTTTTTAGGAGGGAAAAAGTGCATCTTATAGAGAGAAAAATATGGTAAGTATCTTTCCCTGAATGTAGCAGAGCCATCATCTGTGCTGTGTGAATGATATTTATAGTCAAAACAACAGGGGGAGGCAAAGCATCTTGGCATGCATGAGCAATGGTATGTATTAACATTTAACACATTTAGTTGCCTTGCCAAACGTGGATGCACCAAGCTGATTCCTGTTCCCAAAGAATTCCTGTTCCTCAAATACACATTGATACTGAATAAGGAATCAGACTTTTTATCAGCCTTTCTATCCATCTCTTTTACCCCACCAAGAAGCTGTGGGTGATAGTCACCCAACACTCTCCCTTTATGAACGCATGAACACTAAGGCTGGATCTACACTGATCTTTAAAAATGCTAAGAAAGAAACCGTTATATAGCGCTCAAAGCAATTTTCCATTGACTGCTGTACAGCGCCTCCTGGTGTCACATATTTACAACGCATTTATAACATTATAACTTATGGTTACCAGATTTTTTCAATGAATAATAATAATAATAATAATAATAATAATAATAATAATAATAATAATTTATTTGTACCCCGCCCATCTGGCTGGGTTCCCCCAGCCACTCTGGGCGGCTTCTACAAAGACCAAAAATACACTAAGATGTCACACATTAAAAACTTCCCTGAACAGGGCTGCCTTAAGATGTCTTCTGAATGTCAGGTAGTTATTTATCGCTTTGACATCTGATGGGAGGGCGTTCCACAGGGCGGGCGCCACTACCGAGAAGGCCCTCTGCCTGGTTCCCTGTAGCTTTGCTTCTCGCAATGAGGGAACCGCCAGAAGGCCCTCGGCGCTGGACCTCAGCATCCGGGCAGAACGATGGGGGTGGAGATGCTCCTTCAGGTATACTGGGCTGAGGCCGTTTAGGGCTTTAAAGGTCAACACCAGCACTTTGAATTGTGCCTCAAAACGTACTGGGAGCCAATGTAGGTCTTTCAAGACCGGTGTTATGTGGTCTCGGTGGCTGCCCCTAGTCACCAGTCCAGGGACATTTTTTTTAAAAAAACTGAGTAGCAACAGGGAGTCAGTAGTGGGGATGGTGAGATGGTGAGGCAAAAGACCCTGGGCCCAAGCACACATGCATACTGTATAAAGGTGGAAAGCCCTTCTTTCGCATCCTGTGAAACATAAATGCACACTTTTTTAAAGGCTGGGCAACGGCGCGCCACCCGCCCGTGACTCCCGAGCCTTTCCCGATCTCCTGCCCCCTTCCCCCTGTTTTGACAGATCAGGGGAGGCTTGGGAGTCATGGGCGGCCGGCCGTTGCCCAGGAGGGGCCAGCCTGGTAGTGCAGTTGGCTCTGGCTGGCTTCAGGGGCTGCTCACTGCTGTGGCGCAGGAAAATTGGCGGGGGCCACAGCAGCGAGCAGCTCCTGAAGCCAGCCAGAGCCAACTGCGCTACTAGGTTGGCTCCGGGCTGCTGAGGCTGCCGCCGCCATGTTTCCCAGGGATAGATTTGCAAATCTGGGGACATTCCGGGGGCAGAATTTGTCTGGTGACAGATGTGCAAATCTGGGGACTGTCCCCGAGAACCAAGGACGTCTGGTAACCCTATTATAACTCACCTCTTATTTTCCCTGACTGGCAGCACCTCTCCATGGTTTTAAGCAAGCCTCTTTCTCAGCACTTGCTGCCAGAGATCCTTTTGACTGGACCAGGGGGCTTCTTCTTCATGAAATGTGGGTGCTCCACCACTGAGCGGTGGTGCCTCCTCCCTTATACACATCAATGTTTTAAATTGGGGGTGGGGAACCAATGATTCCCAAGATGTTGTCGGATTACAACATTGGTGATGGGGCTGATGGAAGCTGGAGTCCAGCAATGTGGAAGATGGAGCAAGCTTGTTTTGGCCTGCTTCAGAGGGTAGGACTCGAACAAATGGATTCAGTTTCCAACTAACATCAGGAAGAGCTTACTGATGGGGTAAAAGCTGTTCAGCAGTGGAACAGACTCCCTAGGAAGGTTGAAGACTCCTTCCTTGGAGGTTTTAAAGCAGAAGTTGGACGGCCATCTGTCATGGATGCTTTAGTTGAGATTCCTGCATTGCATAGATAACCCTTGGTCCTTTCCAACTCTACAATTCTATGATTCTCTGAACATCTGGAGGTTCCCCATAACTGCTTTAAATACAAGCATTTGTTGAAACTACTCACATTTTGAAGTGCCGTAAGATTATTGAACCAAATATACAAGTAGAAAGAAACTGGGTGTATCACATATTTAAACCCTCATTGAAAGAGGAGAAAAATCTTGACTAGCTACTTTTTTTTTACTACTCAGTTGAACATCTTTTATAGGGACGCAGGTGGTGCTGTGGGTTAAACCCCAGAGCCTAGGACTTGCCGATCAGAAGGTTGGCGGTTCAAATCCCCGTGACGGGGTGAGCTCCCGTTGCTCGGTCCCTGCTCCTGCCAACCTAGCACGTTCGAAAGCACTTCAAAGTGCAAGTAGATAAATAGGTACCACTCTGGCGGGAAGGTAAACGGCGTTTCCGTGCGCTGCTCTGGTTTGCCAGAAGTGGCTTAGTCATGCTGGCCACATGACCTGGAAGGTGTACGCCGGCTCCCTTGGCCAATAAAGCGAGATGAGCGCCGCAACCCCAGAGTCGGCCACGACCGGACCTAATGGTCAGGGGTCCCTTTACCTTTACTGAACATCTTTTGGCTCATCTTCTCTGAAGTTAGGCCATCTACTCACAGTTTCCATGCCCAGCAGAACGAGCAAAGGAATAGTGGTCATGCCACCCCGAATCCACTCTTCCAGCGTCACAGTTCCGTCATGATCATAGTCTATTTCTTCCATCATCTCTTTCAAGATCTGTAGAAGACGACAAAATTTAATTAGAATCAACAGATCCTCCCTCAACCCACCAAACTAAAGTTATTCCATTGGTAGGATATATAGCAGATCTTCAAGGGTGCAGCAAAGAGAGCCTTCATGACTTAATTCTGACCATGCTCAGCAGAGACTTGTATACGAATGAAACTCACCGGCCTCAGTTCTGTGGAGTCCCACTCAAGGTATTCTGCTACATGAACCATCTGATTGATAATACGATCTAGCTCCTAGTTTCAGAAATAAGACAAAAAAGAAGATAAAGGGGGGTGGATGTAGATGTGTGCATATCTTCAGCAGGGTTGGATAACCTGTGGTCCTCCAGATGTTGCTTGAACTTCTAATTCCCATCAGCTCCAGCCATTATGACCAATGGACAGAGATGATGGTAGCTGCAGCCCAGCCACATTTGGAGGACCCCAGCTTCCCCACCCTGGATTTACAGTAAGGCAGTAATATGCATATGCTGACATTGCAAACATATACCACAACACAATCTTTATGATGTAGCTATGTGGGTTCGGTTTCTCGTTTTTGGAGGCTGTGAGGATAATTCCACTGAGGAACTTCCTCAAGGGTAATATATAATACTATGTGTCGCACGCAGAAAAATAGCAGGACTTGTATGCAATTTCTAGTAAGAAATATGGGATCTCAAGCCAATATACTGTTAAGAAAATAGGAAGTCTAGCATATCTAAGCTTCATTAAAGGCCTTGACAGCCTCAAAAGCTGTATCAAAGATGTGTGTGTGTGAGTGTGGCATCAGGCTTGAGCGGGTCCTGGCAGTTAAAGGTCCCCTTACATTTGCCATTGATGCCCTCCCTCCCTTGGTACTGCTGCCACTACCACCAACATCAATGGCTCCCTCTGTCCCACTCTTAAAAAGAGCAGTTGGGTTTCCAATAATGCCTTGGAGCAAGGCTACATCCGAAAAACTGGGAAACTGAATGGCTAAACTCAGCCATATTGCCGCCGCCACTAGATAAGCCTGCCAGGACCTATTGGCATAGGAATAGCTCATGAATGGCTTGCTGATGCCACACCTGCCCCCCTGAGACCTAGGAGCTTGACCCAGAGACCAATCAGATATCACAGATGTGCATAGGATCCTCTGCACATGGGGAGGCCTCCAAACATTTAGAAAGACTTGTGTCCTCGCCTTCTTGAGAAGGGCACTTGCTTTGAAAGATGGCTTACCGAGCTGTCCAGGAGGCCATTGCCATCTGTGTCATAGAGGCGAAACATAACTGCAAGAGAACACAAATTAACAGCAGGCATGTGGTGTGGGCTATATATATATATATATATATATATATATATATATATTTGCTTTCGTAGATTTTCACGGGTACAGGAATGCAGGTTTTGGTGTCCTCGGGTGTCTTCCCGTGTAAAAGTTGGGGTGTCTAGGCGACGTTTCGACGAGGTCTCACTCGTCATCTTCAGGCTGGTGCTTTCGGCTTCTTGTTACTGGAACAGAGCAGGATCTCAGTGTTTGAGTTCCTATAAATACTGTTGAGGGGGTGTGGTGTATAGCCTCCAATGTTCTGGGCAGAGAGGAAGTTCCCAGGCTAGTGTGCCTTTTCTTCTTTTGTTCCTTAATTACTTGAGGGATATCTTGAGTGATTTCTTGAGTGATATCCTGAGTACCACTTAGGTGGGTCATTAGGTGTGGATTAGTTGCTAAAGCCTTCGTGTCTTGACCTCTTGAACTTTGTGAAGAGTTTTTCTGAGAAGATGGCTGTATTGCATTTAGTTGTGCTCTGGCTTGGCTTCGTGTATAGGGGCGAGCTGTGGTTTTGTGTCCTGTGCCAGCCAGATCTGTGTAGGGATTGCAGGGGGGTGCAGCATCCGGAGGTGCCACCATGGTTTGGCTACTGGATGGTGTCTGTAATTTATCTGTGGAGAGGGTCTGGGTTTGGGTCTGGTGTGGTTGATTGGTGATGGCGTTCTGTGTGCCTCTGGATCTGGTGTCGGTTTTTGTGGGGAGGGCTAATTTCCAGATGTCTGGCAGGCGGGATGTGTCGTCACGCTTGTTCATGTTGTGAGGGTGTTTCTCTATCTCGATGGCTTCCATGATTATTCTCTTGTGGTGATGTTCCATGTAGAGAGCAATTTGGAATCTGCAAAATTAATTTCGTGTCCTGTTTCTTTCATGTGTTGGAAAAGAGAGGAAAAGAGAGGAATAGTGGCTCCCTAGGACACACTATTTACCGGAAAAAAACACACACCAACCGCTACTTACATGCACAATCACACCACCACCCTGCACAAATAAACTCCGTAGCCAAGACTCTCATCTCCAGAACCAAACGCCCTGGCTGACAAAGACCACTTGACAACTGAGTTACAGAATCTCTCCAATGTGTTAATCGCCAATGGATACCAGCAAAACAGGGTTACGAAGCTAATGCAAAAAGAAACACCCCCCAAAAACCAAGACACAGAAGAAAACAATGGCATGGCCTCCTTCCTTATATCAAGGGCACTACAGATAAAATTAGCAAAATCCTCCATAAACACAATATCAAAACAGCCTTTTGCACCAACCAAAAAATAGCCAATATCCTCAGAAACCCCAAGGATAAAATCCAGTTGGAAAACCAAGGGGTCTATGAAATACCCTGCAAAGTCTGCCCAGCCACGTACATGGACAAACAAACAGACGAATAAATGCACGTATCGCAGAACACAAGAATGCCGTCAAAAAAGAAGAAAAAACTTCCTCTCTTTTCCAACACATGAAAGAAACAGGACACGAAATTAATTTTGCAGATTCCAAATTGCTCTCTAACATGAACATCACCACAAGAGAATAATCATGGAAGCCATCGAGATAGAGAAACACCCTCACAACATGAACAAGCGTGACGACACATCCCGCCTGCCAGACATCTGGAAATTAGCCCTCCCCACAAAAACTGACACCAGATCCAGAGGCACACAGAACGCCATCACCAATCAACCACACCAGACCCAAACCCAGACCCTCTCCACAGATAAATTACAGACACCATCCAGTAGCCAAACCATGGTGGCACCTCCGGATGCTGCACCCCCCTGCAATCCCTACACAGATCTGGCTGGCACAGGACACAAAACCACAGCTCGCCCCTATACACGAAGCCAAGCCAGAGCACAACTAAATGCAATACAGCCATCTTCTCAGAAAAACTCTTCACAAAGTTCAAGAGGTCAAGACACGAAGGCTTTAGCAACTAATCCACACCTAATGACCCACCTAAGTGGTACTCAGGATATCACTCAAGAAATCACTCAAGATATCCCTCAAGTAATTAAGGAACAAAAGAAGAAAAGGCACACTAGCCTGGGAACTTCCTCTCTGCCCAGAACATTGGAGGCTATACACCACACCCCCCTCAACAGTATTTATAGGAACTCAAACACTGAGATCCTGCTCTGTTCCAGTAACAAGAAGCCGAAAGCACCAGCCTGAAGATGACGAGTGAGACCTCGTCGAAACGTCGCCTAGACACCCCAACTTTTACACGGGAAGACACCCGAGGACACCAAAACCTGCATATATATATATATATATATATATATATATATATATATATTTTTAAAGCAAGCAAATCCATAGACACGTTTGATAATGGCATGTTTAGCATCACGTCTAGTTTGGCCCTGGAAGGGAGGGAGGGTGGCGAGAGAGACCAGGCTGAAAGTTCGTTGCTGGAGTTGGCTGGAAATGAAACTGCAGCCCTTGGGAGTTGTCCAAGTTGCTTTCCAGGGGGATCTTTGGCCTGGAGGGGGGAGTGTCCATTGGCCCCATACTCTACATGTACCTTTTTAAAGAAAGCGGATGTTATTAAACCACACTAATTTCCAGTGCCCAAGGGATTGGCTGGGTACCTCTCTTTCAGCTACGCTCTTCCTATTGGAGTAGCGCATTCGTTGATGTTGAGAGCCCTTCACTGTTCACTTCCCGTCAGCACCTAGACAGAAATAGTTGCCCTGTGAAGTCATGTGCAAGCTTAGACAATGGCCTAGGGTTGAGTGCAGTCAGGTTTTGGTTCTGGCCTGACAAACAGAGGCCCTACTAAAAGATTTTATGACACACCAAACCCTACATGCACTTAAACAAGCAAGTGACACCATTCTACCTATTTTATAGATCTTACGTTTTCTGAACATGCTCATCAGTGAATTTAATATAAGTGCACAGCTTGGGCAGTGCAAACACTGACACTTGGCATCCTTAGGCAGTTGCCAGGGTGCCAACAGCCTTGTGGAAACAACTATGGATGCCACTTTGATTTTATGTGTGTGATCTGGTGCTCCTAGCAGTATCAGGTGGTGGGGTCTAGCCACTATCACATCCCCCCCATTAAAGTTTGTGGGGTATTAAATGGCAACTAGACTCATTAGCTTAGCATTGCTTGGAGTGCAGAGTGTCATGTTAAAAGGCCTAAGATGATTAGAAATAAGAACCTGGGCTGTGCTTATTAGACGGCACCTTTATTTCAGTGTCCCCTCCTTGTTTACAACTACATGCAGACTGGTGTTCTTCCTACCAGAATCCCCTTTCTCCTTTTTTGCCTGCTATAATTCTTGGGCTTGAGCAGCCTAGGCTTAGTCCCAAGTGCTATGGAATTCTGAGTCTGGATCAAGGAGTAGATATTCCATAAACATTACTCTGGGTTGCCAGGTAAGCCCTGAATAGTCCACTGATGGAGGATGGAACACAAGCACTTTGCTCCTCAGACTTGGAGCCAGGGGTGGAGGAAGGGGTGTGCGGTGGGTGTGGTCTGCCCCGGGTGTCACCACTGGGGGGGGGGTTGACAAAATGCCGGGCAGCACTCACAGCGGGGCCTGCAGCACACCCGAGCCACTGCATCTCTCCTGGGAGAGATGCAGTGGCTTGGGCACATGCAGGCTCCGCGCTGCCCTTACGGTTCGCCCACTGCCTCCCCCCCCCAGCTGTAGGACGGCTGAGTGGGAGGAGGCCAGCAGACTTTGGAGGCCCTGCCCCTATGGGTGGCTCGCCCCACCCCTGGGTGCGCCGCCCCAGGCGCCCAAGCGGCTTCTTCTGCTGCTGCTTGGAGCCAGCCTTGGGCATCATTAACAGCTGATTTAACATGCCAGAAAAATAATAATAATAAGGAAAGCCAAAATCAACCAACCAGCAAAACAGGGAGTTAACTGGCAAAAAAATAGCGTTCAATGGTTGCAACACCTATCTGGTCCTATCTTCATGACAATGTTATTTCATCAGAGCTATCCTGCCTGCTGATCTCAGTGCTGCTTTGGGTACTGTGCTTTAATCCTCACTTGTATTCCTGGTGTCATGTTGAGTTGTGTCTATCTTTTGACCTCCACATTCTCCGTGTGCTATGACTCTTCAATTGCTTGGCTTGCTCCATATAATGTCAGTTTCAACTAATTTTTGTTAGGTGACCACATGAAAGAAACTGACTGTGGGGCGTTTCTTTTATGAAAGCTTCGTGCAAAAATTCTTTGATAAACAGAGATGTCACATCCATCAGTACGTGGTGTCTTTTAAGAACAATTAAAAAGCAGAAGAAAAACAAGCCAAGGGCACCAGAGGGCAGCCTTGCACAGTTTCCTGAAATGCTAATGTAACAGAGCCATAAATTATTTCCCATGGCTTTGACTCGGTGCATTGTGGAGAGTAATAAATAAGTAGCAGCTTGCCTTCCTCCTCCTCATCATAGCACAATTGCTAGGTACCCTCTTTCATCTCTTGCCTTTCATTCAGATGATGATAACCAGCTCAATCCATGAAGCAAACCACAATTTTTGTGCAGTACTTGAACTGTGCAGGTAATGAGAAGAGATGAGCAACTTTGCCCTAGAAGAAACCTATTTAGTAGTTACAAAAAACAGAAACACCCCTCTTCTTAGACATGTAAATATCCTTTTAAACAGGCAAGCTCTGTTACCAGGGTGCCTATTCATCAGTCTACATGTCAGTGATGCTCTTTCCAGAGGCCAATTCCAACAACACATTTCCATTCCTGCTGTGGCATTTTGAAAAGTTCCTGGGCCCAATGTTATCCCTGGAGCGGGTTATCCACATTATGGTTCCCAAGCTGATCCTGTGAGGAGGATCCTACAGTATTCTGCTTCGTAATATTTTCATAATTAACCTGCCCTTTGATGCGCAAAATGACTCTGGGGTTTCTAATGGCAAATGAGTCACACAGTCAGCTTGGCACAAATTCAGAGCCATCCAAGGGAGAAGGAGAAGGAAAACAGCCATGATAAGCTCTGTGGTTATGTGAGTCAGCTCTGCAAAGAGTTTGCATGGAAACTGATTGATGAGCTTTCATCTCTCTCTGTGTTAGAATTCACTTCTTTTAACGGGAGCAATCAGTACTGCATGCAAAAGAGCTGGATTGTCCCCAAAGTTTTTTGTTTTTTTAAAATATTAAAAGGTCCCTTCCAAATCAAATTGGAAACTGCTTAAAATGCAAGATCAAATTTAGATTCTGAAGTTTTGCCTAGGAATTTGTGTGACGTTTCAGCTTTTTAAACACACACAATGTCTACTTAAGTTGGATAGGCCTAAAGCAGGGATGGCTAACCGGGATCACCCACACTTTGACATACACCATCCAGAGAACACAGCTTATGCTCATATGCAGGCAGATGCACACATACACCCAAATGGCATACATAGGTGGCCCAACACAGGAGCTGGTGGTTCACCCCCTACGCTTGACTTAAGGGATTGCCAGGAGTTTGGCATTTTAGTTGTCCTTTTCTGTCTGTTTCTGCTAGCCAGGATAGATGAGCTGCAGGGTCCAGGAATTTTCAGACTCTATTCCTCCAAGAAGAAAAGTCTCTAAACTTCTCCAAAGATAAGGATCATGTTTTCTCCTGGAGACTGACATATTTTTTTCTTTTAAAGGCAGTACTCCAAATTACAACAAGCAGGGTTCTGAGGGGATCTGGTCCGTTTACTTTTTGTGATGCTCTGTTAAGATACATTTTTAAAGTTTGTGGGGGTCATGAATGATCTAAGGTTGCAGGAAATAATATGTGTGGGGCTTGTGGATTAGATTAAACTCCCTACACACATAGTATCTTTTATCCCATAATTTGAATATAAGAAAAGGGTCCACCACCTCAGGCCTGTTTTTAAACTCTGAAGAAGGGTCCCAAGAGAAGCAAATGCAGCATAGAAATATGACCTAAGTTGATCTGGTCAACTAAGAGGTGCCACCTAACCAACATATCTGCCTATGATGCTCTAGAGGAAATGGATAGAGAATGAATGGAAAGGGATGGAGGATTGTGACCCGGTTGATTCACAACACACACACACACACACACACACACACACACACACACGCCTATTGCCAGAACTTGAAGCTCAAAGCCATTATTGCTTCCCCTGAAACCACAAACCCTCCCATCCCCCCCATACCACACCACTGCCTCCAAGTGACCCCAGCACAAAACAAGTCTTAAGACCTGGTGCTGTGGTCACAGACACTCTTCCTGTCACCCAAGCACTTACACTCCAGCTTATCCTCAGCCCGTCCCCTTTCCAGCAGTGACAGGTAGCAGACAATGTCCTTCAGGTAGACTACCTGAGCCAGTGGGGCTGACAAATGCGGACTGGCTGTTTTCAGGGAGATGTGGCTCTTTCGAAGGCTGAATGGTAATTTCTTCTCCAAGCTTCGGGAGCCTAAAGAGGAGGTCAAAAATAAGCACAGGTGTTTCAAAGCTCAAAAAGAGATGTTGGACTATGCGGTCAGGTAGACATTAAAAAGACAACAGCAACTCAGGGCCTTCTTTTGCTTGATCCTACCAGTGGCACAAGCACCTCAGGAAGGGCTTGCCAGCAGCGCATCCTTATAGGTCTGTTTTATGTCTAGCAGTCTAAACTAACTTGGGCAGCAACAGCAGAAGTGCAGCACAGCAATCCTTCCACCAAGGGGGAAACCTCCCCAAACCTTCCAGCTGGCTCCTTAGTTTCAGGAAAGCTGCGCATAGCACTGCACTAAACTTTCATCACTCCCTAGTGGGTGGCTGAATGTAATGAGGCCATTTAGCTTCCTCCCCTTCCAGCTCTATGAATTGTTGCATGCCACCCCAATCTCCATGAGCGATGCGGGATTCCAGGGGTTCCAGGTGCTTACTCAGGGTTTGAGTTTCCTTTTCGGAACAAGGCACAGCACAGACTGTGGCATCTTTATGAGATATGGCTTTATTTGCACATTTACTTGTGCCTAGATGGAGGGATTGCAGAGCATTCACATCCTGTGAGGTTCTGGCTTCCCCCTTAAGAGCAGCACTGGATTCCAGAGACAGCAAAAAGCCACCCTCTGTGTCTCTTTCTTCCAGGCTGTCATCTTCAGCTCCCTTGCAGTTCTGCCACTCCTTCTCCTGCTAACTGACTCCAAGGACCATCACTGGCCTTTGTCCCCTGCTAAAGACCCAGATCCTGAAGCTGAGGCTCCAATACTTTGGCCACCTCATGAGAAGAGAAGACTCCCTGGAAGAAACCCTGATGTTGGGAAAGATGGAGGGCACAAGGAGAAGGGGACGACAGAGAATGAGATGGTTGGACAGTGTTCTCGAAGCTACAAACATGAGCCTGACCAAACTGCGGGAGGCAGTGGAAAACAGGAGTGCCTGGCGTGCTCTGGTCCATGGGGTCACGAAGAGTCGGACACAACTAAACGAATAAACAACAACAAAATGACCCATCCACCTAGTTCTGCAAGCTGTCTTGGCCCGTTAGCATAACTAAATCCAAGGGGCTTCAGTGTTTGGCAAAGTTTAATTAAACCTTGATTAATTCTAACTTCTACTGAATTATAACACATTTAGGGGGATCTACCCCCCCTCAAAAAACCCCCTCATAACAGTGTGTAAAGTTTTTGGAATGAAGTGTGTCAATGCACCTCCTCCTTTTTTAACCTTTGGAGGAAATGCTAAGCCGTCATGTCAAAGTTGTGTGTGTATATGTGTGGGGTGTTTTTTTTTTACTGTGTTTCTGTTTTACTCAGCTTGTACTTTTAAAATTACTTTTGGAGGGTGGTTTTATGGGGTTTCATATCCCATTGTATTTTATCTGTTGGCCTGGGAAAGAAATGATTAATATGCAAGCCAACTTTAAATATATGAAAAGCCATCACATGTAGATGATGGAGCAAATTTGGCTTTTGTTGCTGCTGCTACTGCTGCTCCACAGCAGCCTTCCCCAGCCTGGTGCTCCCCAAATGTTGTCAGCCACTGCCAACATGGCCAGTGGTGCTCATTTGAGTAAACCTCTTGCATAACATCCCAAATCAACACGACTGCCAAGGTATATAAGGTATGAGGAGGTATATATGTATGAGAACACAAATTCATCTATATAACCTTTGAGAAGGAAGACCTAGGAAAAACAACCAAATACTGAAAGAGAAGTAGCTGGCTCAAGACTAGCAACTAAAAATTGGTCAACAGGCAAATCATAAGGCAGTGTAGACATGCACATTTGATGTGAGCGCTGGCCCTTAGGAAATGAGGAGATTCGCACCTTCCTCCACTTATGCTTCCCTGACATAAAGGAGTGGGTTGGAGGCATTAAGACACTCTGTGGCTTGCCCAACCTGGCTCCTATTGCCACGGTAAAAAGGATACTGGCTGACAGGATTTCAGCAGCAAAACAAGACACTTTCCTCCCACCCCGCCACAACATTTAAAGATGCTGCAGAATCCACTGTGCTTGAAATAGAAATGTGGCTTTGCAGCTGAGCTGAGGCAGCTGGTGACACCACCTCAGATAAATTAGCTTGTTGCAAATACACTCCAATGTTTGCAAAGGCAACAGTAATGTGCTTCCCAGAGCGTCTCAGAGGAAACTCTCAGGAGTCCCTGACTACCACTGTGCAGCAGATGGATGTGGCTGGGCCTGCGGAGAGAGAATGCTGGAAGTAACATAGTTAGTTATTGACCCAGTGAGAGAATTGCTTTTTGAAAAATCACTTTCTTGTCCTGATGCTGATGTGTTTGCTTCCCAAACTCTCACAGAGATCAAAAGTGCTTTGTTCAACTTCCATTTCAGGTTTCCTAACGAGACTTTGCTGACAGAACCAAAGAGAGAACTCCAAGCTGTGGCTTTGGCCTGTGACAACTGCGGTCACATCCACACCATAAAAAAACACCTCACATCCATTAAAATACATGGCTGCCCCTCTCCACAAAATCCTGGGAACTGTGGTTTACCCCTTGCAGAAATACAATTTCCATACACTTAACAATTCACTGTTCCCAGGGTTCTTCGGAGATAGTCACGTGTTTCAGATGTGTGTTAAATGCAACATAAATGTATGTTGCGGACCTGGCTTCTCTTCACAGCTACAGAGAGTTGGGGCAGGGTAATTTCAGTGTTCATACAAGGCCTCAGGAACAGAAGAGCAAAGATGGAACTCACCTGGGGACTGTGGGCTAAGCAGAGAACCTGAGGAGAACTTGGAGGACCCTGAGGAGTTTTGAGCCGAGGGGGTACCAGCAGTGGATTTCTGTGAAGATGACCTGGACCAGCTAGGTGAGGCATTCCCAAGGGCGTTGGCATTGGCAGTTGGAGCAGGACTTAGAGATGCTGTTTGTGGCTCTGCCAGGTTTCCCGGGGAGCTTTTGGGTTCAGGTGTGTGCCTTCCTGTGGCAGTTAGGAGAGTTTTCCCATTGATCCCTATAAATTCAAACACAGCACGAAGTCAGAACTCTTTAATGGAATGTGTTATTCTGCGCACTCCAACTTGGAGCCTATTGGATGAGGACTGTCATTCAGTCTGTCCTGTGAAGATGGAGAAGTATCTCATGTACTGCTTGTGCCAGCTCAGTCCCCAGGAAGTTAGGCCTGGTCTGCTGAGTTCTCTCAAATTAGACACAAGGTTCATTTCTTCTCTGATCTGTTGTCTTACACTCATCTCCATCTCTGTTACCACTGGACTGGTGTTGTCGCTGCATTTCATAGTGCTCTCAGCCAGAAACAGAAACGACTCTCCCTACCTTGATCACATTCAACACTATGCATTTAAAGCAGAATCAGGTTTTAGCCAGTTAATTATTATTCCCTTCAGTAGGTCAGGAAAGGCCATAGATGAACTATGAAGTCTAGCAAGCTATCAATATTAATTTCATCAGAGGAACCTGAGAAGAAAACAGAAACTGACTGTCTCTTAGGAAGCTCCTAAGCTGCTGTTTCCACAGAACTCCTTACACTTAATCTTATCACAGCTTGGTATTTCATAAAATGCGTTTGAACACGCTCCAGTTGTCTCTTTTACAATAACTATCCTGTCAGGATAAAAAGATTTACATTTAGAAGTGTGCATTGGATGCAGATGAATCCTGAGGGTGGGGTGCCTCAGGAGGATTTTTTTTTGCCTTGCCAGTGATGAAGCAGGATCTGTACAAGGTGGTACAAGTCGCAGCAGGGACCCATGAAGCCCCTTGTGGCACACTCGTGATCCAGATATGAAAAAATGCTGCAGACAAGCATCTGATGAAAATAATGTCTCTAAGCTTATCATGATGTCAGGATGGGGTGATGGAAGAAGCAGACCAAATACCAAAGTGGGAAGAGGAGAACACTGTGACTGACAGGCCTCCAGTACAAAATTCTCTGTATATATATTTGCTTGTAATTCTGCAGATAGGTTACCACACCTACAAATTTAATCCACTTCTGTCGAAAGGCAGGGAGTTATAGCATTATTTTGATTTTCCAATAGTGAATGGGGTGGGAACAAAACAGATTTAAATAGACCCTGAGCTGAATGGGCTGTTTCCTGAGATGCCAAAAGAGGGTTTGAAGTGAAACATGCTTTTTTTCCAGCCAGAACTTGCTGGAAGTCAGTTCTGGCACCTCTCAGGTTGTCATTATAAGAGAACAAGGGAGGTGTTCATGGTGAGTTCCTGCATATCTTTTTCTAGAAAAATAGCACTGTACACACACACACACACACACACAATTTTTGTCTTTGGTACATAACCAGAATGGTAGATGCTACTTCAATGTAATATCAGCATTGTAGAGTTGAAAGAGCCATCTCTGCATAGCAACAGTTTCCTGACAAGAGCTGATGGTTACAAATGCCAGGTCGCACTGAAATACTGAGAGAGATAGAGCTGTAAAAAGCTTTGGCATTCAAATACTGTTTGTTTTCTATGTTTACTTAGCTGCTGCATGTGACTGTGCGGGGATTCCAGAGTGAGAGAGTGGGTAGTCCCAGGTAAAAAAAAAAAGGGGGGGAGCAAGAGAGTACAGGAACCCAGCAACATCAAATAAAGGCAGGAGATTCAAGACAGACAAAAGGAAGGATGGCAAGATCCAAACCAGTAGGTTCAATTTTCAAGGAAAATATATTTAGATTTAAAACTAAGGACAACTTTCTGATGATACAGTGGAACAGACTGCATCAGAAGGTGGGAAAACTCTGATGTGTTAGAGATTTTTAAGCAGATGGTGAATGGCTATCTCTCAGAGATGCTGTAGGGATGGAATTTCCTGCACTAGCAGCAGTTTGGATCAGATGACCTTAGGGCAGCTGTTCTCAACCTGTGGGTCCCCAGATGTTGTTGGACTACAACTCCCATCATCCCTAGCTAGCAAGGCCAAAGCTCAGGGATGATGGGAGTTGTAGTCCAACAACATCTGGGGACCCACAGGTTGAGAACCGCTGCCTTAGGGGATCCCTTCTATATGTTTCTAATGGTTAAACAATGAAGTTCACTTTCATGTGCTGATGGCCATCAACATGAACAGCTTTAAAAGGAGACTCAAGCTATCAGTGGCTACTACACACACGATAGTTGTACATTACCTCCAGTCTCAAATTCAGCATGTCTCTGAATATTAGTTGCTGGGGAGAGGACTACTGCATTTGTTTCCTGTTTCTGGTTGGCCAACGTGGGAAAACAGTCGAGTAAATTAGAAAAGCCCAGATAGGCTTTTGTACTTATAAATCTCTGTACAATACCGCTCTGTCCATTTATGGCTATGGAGGTTCTTGTTAAAAGGTGGAGCAGGGGTTTCATAAAAGAGCTTATCATAGATACCTGTAACAGGGGCGCAAGCAACTTCAGTCTGGATAGAGATGCCTGTATCAATGGACTTAGACTCTGAAAGCCCGAGAGAAACAGAAAAATAAACACACACTTTAACAACATACACTCAGTAACGTTTATTGCAAGTTTGTAGTAAACAGCTGTCAACACTTTCTTCTTGGCAAATATATAAATACTTGGTTAGAACAGAAAGGGTTGTGTGCACATATTATTATGTCTCACCAATAATGCAAAGTACAAGTGTGTGTGTGTGGGGGGGGGGATCAGAACCTAACTCAAGCTGTGGATGGCCTAACCTGAATCCTGGCCTGGAGGAGGCGGAATCCAATGTGGACTCAGTAGGCTCAGTGGCCACAGAAGGCCAACTGGTTGTTGGAGGAGGGTGGAAATGGGAAACCAGGGATAACAATGGAGTACCGTATTTTTCGGTGTATAAGACGCCCCCAATGTATAAGATGACCCCTATGTTTTGAGCCCAAAACTAAGAAATAAATATTTTAAACACCAAACAGAACAAGTTTGATATTTTATTAAATATTCAAAACACCAGTATATTTAGTACCATATATTTAAGCATCAAACAGTGAGGCAAGCTGCGTAATGGCGGCTGCTCCTGTCAGCTCAGTGTAACTCCACTGTAGCTGCAGCTCCAGCTCTCCCGCCTGTGTGCTGCACTTTTGTCTCGTATTTACGGTATTGAGCGCCGACAGATGCGAACGCTGATCAAGGAGCTGCGATTGCCAGAGCTGCCTGAGTGAGTGTGTTTGGGGAATCGGGGGGGGGGGGTGTCTGGGTAGCCAGGGGGCGACTGAGGGAACAGGGTGGAAGGGACAATGTCTGGGGTGGGGGCTGCTGGGGGGGAGTACCAGGGTTTGTCGTGAGGCCAATAGTGAGGGGAGGCTGGGAGGAAAGAATACGGATGGCGGCATGTCTTTATTTATATATTTAATTGCAACATTCCGTGTCTAAGACGACCCCCAATTTCAAACTGAATTTTTTTTGGGGGGAAATATCTTATACATGGAAAAATACGGTGTTATAAAAGAGACTGACTGGAAGAGAACTCCACACTTGCATTTTGTTGCAAGTCTCACCTTGTTCCTTCTAAATACAAATCTGCCACAGAAGACGACTTCTAAAAACATCCCTGCTTCATTTTCAGTTTTGACTGAACACGCAACACTCTTCTTAAAAACTTAAAAATGACAAGTGAACCAGTAAATCAGCAAATGGCAGGTGCTAGTGATGGTGTGTGAGGCAGACAAAGGAGAATGGATGTTGCTCACCAAGATTGCTGAGCTGTGTAATGCTGGAACTTTGTCGCTGGCTCTCTGGGGAATATTGGCAGATTTTTCGTTTGAAGGACATGAAGAGGTGCTGGCAGAGCTCCTCTGGAATATCCACCTCCAGGTATGTTCTCATGAACAGCTGGAACCCCTCATAGTCAATTGGCTTCAGGGAAGAATGGAATAAAGCAAAATAGAAAAGCCCTTTAGATTTGTTTAACTTCTCATTTTAAAAAGGGACGGCCTGTAGAAGCAGGATTCCTTCCAGACAATGCAACAATTAAAATCAACCACCAAGCTTTCAGGCTGTTGCTAATACATGTTACACAATATACACATGGTAACCTGTGATTAACAAACTGTGAACAGGTAGCATTCAGTATCCCTTTGGAACAACATGTATGGTCCAATAGAGCTCCACAAAACGGCATCAGGGGGAAATGAGTGAAAATCTTTTAGGTCAGAGATGTCAGTCTCTTGTGGTCCATGTGTTATTTACCTTAGAAAGGAGAAGAAAGTTATCCCCTTGCTATTTTTAAAAAATGAACCAGTTGGTATGTTTAACTCTAGATTGCTCTTTTTAGCTTATCTTCAGCATTGGCCCATAGGTGGTTTAACATTTGCAATTCAGCTATTTAAATAAATGGACATATGCAGTTAGAGTAGATTTGGCAACTTTAAGCTACAGAGCCGGGTTTGAATGGCATTGCTCAAAAACAGCCAAACACAAATCTGAGAGTTGTCTCCCCCTCACACCAGGAACAGCCCATCATCCCTTGAGGGATGGCAGATGGATGCTTCCAGATCCATGGCGTACAATTAAATTTAATGACGGTTCAAAGTAAGCATGGGAGGGGCAGCAGCAGTGATGGGCTCCAGAACCCTGGCAAAGCGAGTAAGGCAAAATAAAATACGTTTGTTGTGACAGATGCATCATGGAGACCAGCTTGCAGTGCACATTTTGCAGTTGCAGCACTCAGCTTTCAGAACTCTGGCAAAAATATTGTTAGACAGAGATAAGTCTCATTTATATCCCAAGGCCTAATATGAGAAATAGCCACAGACTGCACAGCAGGAATTCATTTCTGAAACCAGGGCTCAAGAATAATTTTTGGTGACCTGATAAAAACTTGTAACACACTCTCTCCCCCCCCCCGCCCCAATCACGCTCCTGTCCTATACAATCTCATGAGTCATGAAAGATAAGTTACTGTATTAATTATTAAATTACATTTTCTGAATTTCTGAAATTGCACCTTGTTTCTGAAACATGCCCTCCAATCCCAATCCCCTTTTTGCTATTTTTGTTAAATATAATGTCAAGCCTGATGAACAGTCCTATGAAGTTTCTGATATTTTGTATCTTTTCGGTTGGTCCTGATAACGGTATTATCCTCTTGATATATTTTGATTCCAAAGGATGAAAACATTTTATAAATAGACTAGTTCAAGTTAAAGCTTTATATTTCTGGCTCTTTTCATTGAAAAAATCATGGATTAACTTCCTAAAGTCAATTTAACTTGCAAGTTTGAACTTGATAGACGAAGTCGCTGGGTGGCAGTTACTCACAAATATAGTTGAGCCAATAAATCCTGCCAGCAGCACTGGCTCCTACTGCCCCTGGGATCAGTATCCCTATTATAGTGCTTTGTTCCTCCCACCAGCTGTACCCCCTCCTTCCCATGCACCAGGAACTCTGGGACTGGTAGTCCATGAGTGAGCATGCCATATAAGGAAGCACAAATCTCTTTCTCTCAAACAACAAATTTTAACTGCATAAGCACACACACACACTATTCTAGAGAAGAACCTTGGCCAGCAACTCACTGCTCAAAATATGGCTTATTCTGTTCTAACGTTATTTCTGAATAGCTCCAGCAAATATCACAAGATATGGACAATAGGTACATAGATACAAGGAAATATGCATTCACAACTATCCTCAAACATAAAAGTGGGATCGGAGAGCTGGAAAACAATTCACATCTGGCAACCAGTGCACCCCTTTGCTTTCAGATAGTACATGAGTAGGCAAGTCTAAAAAGCCTGGGACACAATTTTTTTGTGTGGTGGCTTATTTACCAGAAGTATTTAGCGTTAACTCTGGAAGTGTATTCTGACCAAACTAAGTCTCCTAGAGCAAAATATACAACACATTAGAGGGCTTTGAAAATTTGTGTCCCAGGCTTTTAAGATTCATCTACCCACGTACTATTGGAAACCAAAGGGGCTCATTGGTTGCCAGATGTGAAACAGGTAAAGGTAAAGGGACCCCTGACCATTAGGTCCAGTTGTGGCCGACTCTGGGGTTGCGGCGCTCATCTTGCTTTATTGGCCGAAGGAGCTGGCGTTTGTCATCAGACAGCTTCCGGGTCATGTGGCCAGCATGACTAAGCCACTTCTGGCGAACCAGAGCAGTGCACGGAAATGCCGTTTACCTTCCCACCAGAGCGGTACCTATTTATCTACTTGCACTTTGAGGTGCTTTCGAACTGCTAGGTTGGCAGGAGCTGGGACCAAGCAACGGGAGCTTCCCCCGTCGTGGGGATTTGAACTGCCGACCTTCTGATCGGCAAGTCCTAGGCTCTGTGGTTTAACCCACAGCGCCACCCGCGTCCCAACAGATGTGAAATATATTGGCAGTATTTTCAGCTCTCCTACCTCACTATAAAGTACAGTTCAGCCTTTCCCACCCCATCAACTAGGCTTGCAAGGTTTGGGATAGGGCCCCCTGGATCTCTGGACTCTCATAAAATGTATCCTCTCCCCCACATTTCAGGCCCTGTGTAATCCTAACTACCCCAACACATCAGAGAAAGAAACAGATCAGATTGTAAACACACACAGTGGCACATTATATGCAGCAGGAATGCACTGAGCTCTGTTTGAAGCTTTTCACATAACAGATATATAACAGATATATCTAAAGAAGGCTTCCCCAGGCTGGTGCCCTCCAGATGCAACTAGAAGTCCCATCAGCCTCATTATGCCAGGGCTGATGGGAGTTGTAGTCCAGGTAGGAGAAGGCTAATCTAAAAGTATACAGAGGAACTGCAAAATGACATATAGCACTAATATAAAAATAGAAAGCTCTCTCTCCACCCCCCCCCAAAGCAGAGGCGCCACAGAACATGCCACACAGGAAAAGGCAGAGGTGCACTTTTCACACACATTGAAAGCAGAGGCGCATACTGGACTATAAGCTTATGTGGGGTGGCAGCAGCGACACCTAAATAGGAAATGCAGCTAAAGCTCTTCAGGGTGGAATCTACAGACCTATTAAAAAACATTATGGAAATGCTTCTTATTTTTAAGTGTTTTTAAAAATATATGGAATTTTCCATAGGGCTCACCATCACCATCTAGTGCCACATTGTACATTGCACTTAAAACACACTTTAAACGCTTTATTTGCAGCTGTATAGTTGAGTCCCAGGAGTTTACACTGCAACGGAGGATGGCATGCTCAGCACAAGCTGCCCTTCCTGTGGCACAATGGGTCAATGGGTCCGGCTGCTAAGCAGAAGGTAGGTGATTCAAGGCCACACAGGGATGACTGTGGGCAGGATTCCTGCACTGCAGAGGGTTGGACTAGATGAGGCTCAGAGGATGAAGATGATGTGAAAATTAGGACATTGGTTCACTATTCTGACATTTTTCTGTATGTTTAAGTCCTCTCAACACTGACTCCCTAAGGATACAGAAGAGGCACTGAGGTTTTCTGATTTTTGTAGCATACTGATTGAAACTGCAAGTCATAACTTTGATCCTAATTCTTTTTTGGGGGGGGGTCAGTTTAAGCAGAAGCAAACATGCAAGGCAACATGTAAACACCACATGTGATAGCTAGAGTATGGAAAGCAAGTCTTACTTGGTTCAGAGTGTCTTGTTTCTGAGGAAAGGAAGAGCGGAAAAAAGACAAAGCAAAGTTCAGTGAAGAAGGACCGAAGAGCAGGAGGAACAGAAACAGCTATTCTGCTGGACAAAGGCAAACCAGACTTTCAGGATGGTATGTGCTACAGTCCTTCCCACGACTGTACTATTTCAGAACACACTTGGGGGAAATCCGTAACTTTAAAAAACTTTGCATTTTAAAAGCATGCCCTTGTCAAAATTTCCCAGCAGATGGAACTGTTTACATGCTAGAGAAAAGGCTTGTAAAAATTTTATCCCTGAAATGTAAATTTTTGACATAAGAGAACAGGCAGAGTTTTTGCAAGAACTGTTTAAAGGATTAAATGAAAGATTGCTTCATTTATTTATTATTTTTATTTCTTGTCCTTGTATTTGGAACTTCCTCCAAATAGTACAGGGCAGTTATCACAAAGTTATCAACAATCCTGTGAGGTTGGTTGGGCTCAAGTGAGCAGAATCCCCAAAGTCATTTACAATGTAATCTTGTGTGTTTACTCAGAAAGACATTCCATTGTGTTCAGAGGGGCTCATTTCCAGCAAAGCATCTTGAGGACTGCAGCCTAAGGGAACTTAACAGACCAGAACTTTATGGTTTAAATCCCTCTGGGTCCAATTCTACACCGTGCAACAACAGATGCTGGAGATACTGAAAAAGTGCATTCTTGGTAATGTTACCTTCAATATGGGATACCACACCTATGCTTTTAATCATGATGGTTGCTAGAATGTTGCTGCATTGTGAGCTTCTAACAAGCATCTGATCTAATAGGCACTGTAGACTATATGGGCCTTCGGTCTGAACCAGCAGGGCTCCCCTTATGTTATTATGGCTAGATGAAATGCTCAATACAAATCTGCAGCTATTGTGCAGGGTGTGTATATCCCACACCCTACTGAACCCTAAGACCAGGGATAGACAACAAGATGCTTGGGATGACAATGCCACTCACCACAGCCACCCCATTGGTTATGGGAGGGCTAATAATAATAATTTATTTATTATTTATACCATTATTAAAAACACGATAAAACATCAAACATTAAAAACTTCCCTAAACAGGGTTGCCTTCATATGTCTTCTAAAAGTTAGATAGTTGTTTATTTCCTTGACATCTGGTGGGAGGGCGTTCCACAGGGTGGGTGCCACTACCGAGAAGGCCCTCTGCCTGGTTCCCTGTAGCTTCACTTCTCACAGCGAGGGAACCACCAGAAGGCCCTCGGCGCTGGACCTCAGTGTCCAGGCTGAACGATGAGGGTGGAGACGCTCCTTCAGGTATACTGGGCCGAGGCCGTTTAGGGAGCTGTAGTCCTCAACATCTGGAAAGTATCATATTGGCTACCCCTGCCTTAGACTCTCCTTCCTGACCCCTCTCAGACAGGCTGACTCAGATGGAGAGAAAGGGAATGGCAATCACACAGACTTGCTCTAAAAGAAGGTTAGACTGCAGGCATCCAGTCAGGTGAGTTAGTCTATATTCCGCTTGGCCTTTTGTCATCAAGTGATTTGCTTTTAGTATTCTAGCTCCTGTGTAGTTATACTTCTTTTAGTAGGCTGCTCTGTTGCTTGGTTTTTTAAACTTTTTTATCTTCTAAGTCATCTCAAAGGCCTTTGGGTGGAAAACTGACCAATAAATACAAACCTGGTAGATATTTATTTTATTTTGGAAGCATAGTGCCAGACCTGAGCACATCAACATTTAAGGTTCTTTAAAGAAGAAAAAAAAGTGGACAGCCCACCTGAAATGTGGGAGAAAGGGAGGAGCAATCGGTTTAAAGGTACTTCATAAATTTATCTGGAAGCTGTTATATGTGTCATTAGAGGACGTACGGTTGAGAGGGGAGGAGGAGGCAGGTTCACTGTTAGAGCCGAAAAGCTCCCGCCCACTCCTGCTTCCAGACACATCTGTACAGATCCTTGATTTCTGCCCACAGCGACTGCTACGTTGCCATCGCTACAGGCAAGCGGCTGTCTGAGGAAATGACGGGATATCCCCTCAAAGAGCAGGAAATAACAATTCCACCCTGGCTTTTCCCAAGTCAGGTAGGAAGCGAGGTGGCTGCAGTGGTATAATTTGGAGCAGGGGGTTATCGCAACAACCCCCTCTCCATATGTTATTACTGCAGGGATAAAGTAGGAGGAGGACCATTAAACAAATAAAAGCTAAACGGCACAAAAGGACTGTAGGAAAATACCCCCCCCACCCCACCCCCCACTCGCTCCTTTATGGGCAGCTTCCTCCGCAGCCTCTGCTGGAAAGCAACTCTGTTCTTTAAAGCGGTTTTAAAAGGCAATTAGTCATTAAACCCAATGGCAAATGCGGTAATTTCTCAGAGCAGGTAATAATGAATTATACCTACATTGGCTGCTTTGTGCAATGGAAATAATCACAGTAATATCTCCTGCCGTGGGGCACAAACCACAGCAATGTGCTCTCAGGAGAAAGCAGTGCAGCCCACTTACGGCCACCCACAACACAGCACTTGTCCTGTTCCCTCCTAAGTGCCTAAGCAAGCACTCTTCCTAAGAGGGAGCACAATTGCAATTCCTGCCATTTCTTTTGTTGGCTTGTCCTCGTAATTACTTCGCGTGTCAAGAATTCCCCCACAAGCTCTTTGTGCCTGTTTCTTATTTAATTTCATTTGATATTCTAAGGTTTTGGAGCCTTTTGTGTTCTTCTTGAATAGCACCGCAGCTATTTCCTTCTCTTAGCGTGGAAGTGGGGACAACCCACTTTTATTGTTCTTACTAATCTGCTTTTCCTAGGAGAGAGAACATATGCCTTCAGAGCTGTTGCTCTTTGGAAACGTTTCCCCACCTCTCCAAAAAATATATATCAGAAAAGGCATTCTCCTAATTTCTCCTTAAAATACGGAGGAATCTCCCCCAGAGAATCTGAGGAACAACTTTCAACATGGGGGCAAATGCAGCGAGGACTGAAAATGTTTTCTGCTCAACTTGTTCAAAGTTGGTTTTAAGAGGGGGGAAAGGGAAAGTAGGAATGTTACCCAGTTTAAACCAATGAAAACACACAAGTGTGCATACTTTATGATCCACCACCCCCCAAGTTAGAGAATTCTAATTTCAGATTAGAAAATCAAAATACTTATGTGCAACTATATTCATTCATGCTGGTATCTTTGTTCATAAAGAATGAAATTGCAAATTCTTAGAAACTGATGATACAGGCAACTCTCAGTTACTGTTATTCCATTTCTCTTTTTACGCTATTATCAGAATGCATCTTCAGATGTTCAAAAAATCCATATTTAGGACAATGCCTTTATTGCATCAACCAAAATGCCATGAGCATTTGAGTTTTTCAGAACTCTTCATTGGGCAGTAAACAGAGTAAGGGATGGATGGATGCAGAAAAGGCTAGCCCTTGGTGAAGCGATGCAATCTGCATCTGGTCACGATCTCAAAACAGAATGTGGAAGGAGACAGTCAATGAAGCTCAGTTACATTCTATGCAGGCTTCAGGTTGCACCTAGGGCTGCTGGGAAGCAGGTACAGGCAATGACTGCCCTAAGTGCAATGGGACATTTATTATGGCATAAGCTCACAGTCCATTTTATCAGAGGCATGAAGTATAATCCTGAATTGGCAAGAATATATATGGATATGGGGAATGTAGAAGAATGAGCTCAGAGGAAAATGAAATACAAAACCAATAGAAACAAACATGACTACCCTTCTGGAAACTGTGATGTGATAAATAATATATTTGCACCTTTATTTTTTTCAATTACTTTTTTTATTTACAAATTTAACAAAGAAAAGGAGAGAGAGAGAGAGAGAGAGAGAGAGAGAGAGAGAGAAATAATATATAAGTAATACTATTGATAACAGTAAATCAACACCAGCCTTTTTAAACATCTTGCCTGAGAAGGAGTTGTGCATTGCTCAAAATGTCAGGTGGTTGATCCTAACAAATGGCATTATTTGACTGAAGGTGTGCATTTTGTTTAAATGGACCAACAAGCCTACTGGTGTTGATTCAATATAGAATTTAGGAATACATTTACAGCAAGCTTTCTTACCTGTTCTGGATTATATTTTGCTAGGACACCATCTCCATGGAACTCTTCCAAAACATCTTTCAGTTTCTTTGTGGAATCTAGAAGGAGAAAGTTAATGCCAATACCATGAATAATATTAATTACATAGAAGTCTGACGATGTCATCTGTTTCTTCAAAAGGTCATTTCCCCTTGCCAAACTTAGGAATGATTATATATGACCATGCCGACACCTTGGGCAAAATGATGTTGTAAAAGTCATGGCGGGCTCTAAAATTTCATGAAAATCCATCCTGCTTTATTTTGAAATTATTAATGAACCTGCAATGAGTAGAGCGCCTTAAACGTTATATTTACAACACCCCAGATGTTTCCTTTGAAGCAGAAGATATATCAGAGTTGCAATGTCAAATATTTGACCCTAGTATTGTGTAGGGAACACACACCACATCAGCCTCTGGGTTCTCAACCAGGGCCCAAACAAACCCTCAGCTCTCCCACAAAAATCTCACAACAAGAAGAGTTCCTGGAAACAGCAGACATGACCCTAATCTCTCTCACTTTAGACTTGCTTTTTTATGGGCAGGCCCAAGGTGGATGGTACTATGTCCCATTCAGCTGCGCTATCCACACCAAATTCCAGGTAGAGCACGTTTGCTGAATTTCCCAGGGGGGTCCCAAAGGTTGAGAAAAGGGTCTCCTTCCACTCACAGCTTTCTTCACCCTCTGTCCTCTCCTCCATCTTCTCAGATGCTGACTGCTACTGCAACACATGCATGCATCACAGCCAAGATGGTCTCTGTCCTCTTCAGCTGCTTTTGTAGCTGGAGTCAGTCAGGGCCCCACCCTCCCAGGCCAGGTGGGAAAAGGCCTGCAAGGCAGGGAGCAGGACTTCCAGGACTCACAGCCAAGATGGTCTTGCAGGCTTCACATAGGTAACCTGCTTGGATGGATGCTTAATAAGAGAGCCCTCTGGTAGGGTTTTGATTAGGCATGGCTTCCTCCACACCCCATTCCCAACAGCTGTATATCCTAAGGTGCACCAGGGGAATATATACACATACAGGAAAATGAACATGAGACTAAGGGTCTCAGAGCAGCTGTTTTAGGGTGGGTTAATCTTTCCCAGGATAGTGCCATCCACGCAGCATCAGATCTGCAGCACACAAGGCCCTGTTTGGGACACCATTTCCTCACCACCACCACTCCTCACTGCTATTGCTACTCCTCTTCTTTCTTCTTCGGCAATCACTCATAGCTGAGTAAGTTTGTCTTTCATGAACACGGTCTGAACAGTAAGTCTGTAAGTGACTGTGGAGGCCACTTCTGGCTCCACACATCCTTCCACAGTGGGGACATACGTTTCCGGACGGGAGTTGATCAAGGTGAGGGTTTGCCAAATGTGCCTTCCTCTTAGCTCGTTTCTCCCTTGCCTCCTGAGTTCGAGCGTCTTCAAAGTCCATGACACCTTTGGTAAAGGCTGTTCTCCAATTGGAGCGCTCGCAGGCCAGTGTTTCCTAATTCCCTTCCCCTTCTTCCCCCCTCTTTTCTTCCTAATCTAATACTAATGTCTCACAACAAATGAAACTGATCTGTAGAAAACAAAACTTGAAAAAAGAGACAATGCAAGTAATTTTGTAATCTAAGAAATCTTTAATAAAATATATATTAAAAAAAATAAAAACAGCACACACACACACCCATACATTTTAAACCTATTTAAAGCACATCTCCCTCCTGGGGTCTGTAATTTATCTTTCACAGAACTAGAATTCCCAGCACCCATAACATAGTGGAGCTCTGAGAATTCTCAAGGTGGGGAGATGTGATATAAATGTATGGCGTGTATGCAGCCTAAATGCCCTTTCCACCCATTTCAAAACTTGTGCACAAAAATTAACTGTTCACTGGCATGCTGGATTTTCCTCCTTCAATGACTGGAAACTTGCATCTGTCATGGGATAGAAGCATTTTCCCTGTAGCACTTCCTGTCTGAACAACTGAGTGATGTGACTTGAAAGCAGCTTAGCTCCCAATGCTCTCCCGGTGCAAAGAACAGCATTAATTTAGCAGGTTGTGATCGCTATCATCCATTATTTCTGCCACTAAAATATTTGAGAAGGGTTCTTTCGTAAGAAGTCGTGATGGAAGCCAGTTTCTTTTTTTAATCTCCCTTCCTGGGGTCTCAGAGCTCCAGGAGGTGAAACATCCCAGCAGGCTCACAGCTCAGCTGCCCTGGATTAGGAAGTGAGCCCCAGAGGATCAACATCGACTGAAATACCAGAGGAAAATGCTTAAAAGAAGGGAATCTGCTTTCAGATGCCTAAAAAAGGCTACTAAAAATAAACTAAGGGGACTGCTCATATCAAATGCTCAAGATCCCATCTCTTAAAGTGGTCATGAATATCACAGTGTTTGGGCTAGAGTCTCAGAAGGATTACATTTGGAGCAATAAGGTCAGTGGGAAGAAATTGTTCTGCACATCCTTATTCCCCATACTTCCTATGTGGAAGTATATCCACCAACCACAAGCAGAGAAGGTTGTTGTATGTGTGGACACGCTGAAGGGCTGCCTCTTTAGTGCTGGCCCCATTGACTTAGACTTTGACTAGTCCCTTTTGAGACTAACGTTCCTCCTTCCCCCACAAATTGCACTGCCAGCCCGTTTGGATGTGGAGCTGTCCCTTAATCTGTTCTCTCGGTGTTCTCTCTTCTCCCACTTCAACCAATGAGGGCCGTGTGGTCATTCACATTAAAAGAACAGAAGAAAAGCCCTGCAGACTTAGCCCAGCAGACACCAGGCAGGCACCTGGCTGAGCTGCATTTTTTCCATAGGTCAATAGCTGTACAGATTCATACTTGGCAAGTGCTGTGTTCATGCGTTGAGACACGGATGCAGCATTTTATCATTGGACCACTTCACCCCAAGCACACTTTAAGCATTTTTGTTAGCCTGGATAGAAAAAATAAATTAAAAAGGGTAATGTGAATGGCTCCGCAGGCACAAACAATTATTAGAAAGCCTTCTCGTTTCCTCCATAATAGAAATCTGCTTGAGAAGGCATTGGAAACACTGTCCTTTAGGTCTGGTGGTGGAATGCAAAGGATGAGGCTTTGGTGGGAAAGTGCAAAAAAAGGAGACATGGTTTTTGAGACTTGGGGTGGGCTTCACATAATAAACGTCATCAGTAATAAGGGTTTCCCCTCTCTCCTCCCCCTTTACCCCCCCATTGCCTTGGGGTGTTGGGAGAACCCCCAGAATAGCACATGGGGAGAGCAGAGGGGGGTCATGCTGCCCAGCAAGCTGATATGCTTGCACAGACAGAGCAATTGCAACAGCGCAGCACTGAATTCCACCCTAAAGGTAAAGGTACCCCTGACCATTAGATCTGGTCGCAGATGACTCTGGGGTTGCGTACTCATCTTGCTCTATAGGCCGAGGGAGCTGGCGTTTGTCTGCAGACAGCTTCCGGGTCATGTGGCCAGTATGACTAAGCCACTTCTGGCAAACCAGAGCAGCACATGTTTACCTTCCCGCCGGAGTGGTACCTATTTATCTACTTGCGCTTTAACGTGCTTTCGAACTGCTAGGCTGGCAGGAGTGGGGACCAAGCAATGGGAGCTCACCCAGTCATGGGGATTCGAACCACCAACCTTCTGATCGGCAAGCCCTAGGCTCAGCAGCGCCACCAGCGTCCCTTAGAATTCCACCCTAGGTGTCTGGTATTTCCAAATACAGAGTTCAGCCCTCTTACATACGAGTTCCCATGAAAACTGACACATTTCACGGTAGCATCGCGGAGCCCTACCACACAGGAGTATCAAAATGTTATCTTAGGCCTTTACAGCAGGAACACTTCTTTTCCAGATGCCAGATCTTTGCGAAAGAGAAAACCCAAGATAGCGCACCAAGTTATTGACCTGCATACACTAGCTTTATCATTTCTTTCTGCTGTGAATTTTGCTAAAGCCTAAGCGCTTAGTAGTGGGGTGGGGGGAAACCACCTTTGGAATTAAGAGCTTCTCAGGCTCTCAGTTTGGCACTTCAGTGCTGGGAGCAGTACTTGAAAAATGAAAGTATCACATTAAATACAGCTTTGCAGATTCTTCCCTTGTGTGGAACACACCACCCTTTCAAACCCACACGAATCCCTCACTACCATCCCTGCCTGTTCTGCAGACTAACAGGCTTCCAGGATGGACTGCAGGTGGTTCATGGGGGGGTATGAGCCCAATGCCCTGTGTATTTGATGACACACATACCTCTCAAACACTTCCCATGTAGTCAGGACTTAGATTTACATCTCTGGGTTTTAAAAGATCTTATTGCATGTACTTGGATGTTCTGTGCTTAAGTTATTGTGGCATACCTCACAGAATGACACATCACAGTACAAATTAATTGTATCCTTCTTGTGAAAGAAAGGACAAGGATTGCATGCATCTGATCCACCACGTGCTGGAAGCTGTTGTGCTAATGCTGGCATAAACAACCCATACTGAAATGGCAAGCATTTGAGCTGAGAGAGGGACGGTACTTACACTCAGAATACTGCTGGAGCTGAGCAAACTCTGCCGGACTAAGGGTGACCCAGGTGCCATCGTTCATCTTTCAGGCGAGCTCTGGGGAGGCTGTCTCCACCCTTAGCAGAGGTCTTCAGGAGGAGCTGCACCTCTAGAACAAGAAATGATTCTGGACCATCGCTCAAGTTTTGCTCTGCAGATGTCTACTGAGTCACTGTTGTTTTTCTACACAGCAGAACTCAGATCCTGATCAGGATGAACGCCAATATGCCTGGTCTCCGCAGAGCCATCTTTGTCTCCGCTGTAGCTAGGAGTGCCATCAGAAAATGCCTCCTGGAGAAACCCCGGTGTCTTCAAATCTAGAATTAAAATGTGCAAGTTATAGAACGGCATACATTTCCCCAAAATCTTTTTCTTTTATGCTGGCTTTCAGGGAAACAAAGGCAGAACTGTGCTGACTCAAGCTTATTTAACAATTTGAAAAATGAATTGAGAGAGAGGGGGAAATTCCAGAGCCCCCACAATGAAACAGGCCATTTCCAGTGTGGGGTTGTGGTTGGAGTGTCACACAGGTTTAAAGCCTGGCCACATCCGCATGGTACATTTAAAGCATTATTATACCAATTTTAACACTCATGGCTGTGAAAAAGAGGAGATGTTCAGGAGAGCCTCTCACATCCCCTTGTTTGCCCAGCTGCTGCACAACAGCCCTGCAGTGGAGTCAGACAGGTCTTATGATCCCGTGGCTGCTAACCACCACTCTCCTACTCACTCTTGTAACCCACGTGGGAGGGGACCAGGAATGCACCAAAGCAATTACTCTTTAAAAATGATCTGAGCCAGAATCCTGGGAGCTGGAGTTTGTTCAGGTTGCTGAGAGTTTAGGAGAGTCCTCCCTATCCCCTCAAACAACAATTCTCAGAGCGGTTTAACAATCAATCCTTCTTGCTAAGGAACTCTGGGAACTGTAGGTCTGTAAGGGAAACAGCGGTCTCCTAACAATACCCAGCACCCTATCATTCCCATGATTCTTTGGGGGAATGAGGTACACCAACAAATCTCTGATATTCCAGGGGTTCCAGACTCTTGGAAGGAGGGACAGCAGAAACTGTGGTGTTGTAATAATATATGGTTTATTTACACATATATACAACCTGATGGAGAGGATCATGGCCCCAACATGCCAAGAAGGCCTTGGTCACAGCCTTGGATTAAAGCAGAAATTGGGCATGGTTCTGTCTCTCACCTGCTTCTAGCTTCTACTTCACATGCATCAACTCTGCCTTTGTATTTCTAACTACTAGCAAATTGTGGGAGGCAGACCCATCCATTTGTTGTCTAGCACAGAGCCACTTCCTTTGCTACCTTAATGGTCCATACTTAGAGGACCACTAACTCGCCAGGTAGCTAGCCTGGCTATTCCAGGGATTGAATCCATGCTGGATCTAGGAATTAGAAGGGTCTGAGGCATACAGCCTTCACACACACCAAGAAACCCCTCATAATAGTATGATGCAGATATTGCTTGGATAAATGTCCTGGATGCCCTTGGACAAATTGTTATTTCTTAGGCTAAGCTATCTCACAGGGCTGTCATGTGAGAGAAAGAGCGCACAAGGTAACCATGTATGCTACTCTGAGCAACTCAGAGATGGGTAGGATAAAATAAAGTAAGTAAATACAAGCTTTTTGCCAGATTTGATGGACAGTGTTGCTAATATAAAATAGCTCTGCTGTATCCTAATAAATGAGTGAATCTCTCAGCCATGAGCTCAGATGAACCATACAAGGAACTTCAAAGCAGGAACAACATAGTTCATCTTGATTTGAATATAAGCAGCTGATTACAGTTTCAGAAATGAATAACAGTTTCCCAAAATACAGGAGGTATCCGATGGTTCAGTAAAGGCAAAGATTGGCCCTTTTTCTGAAAACAATCAATTGTCTTAGGAAAGCCATTTGGCATTATGCCTCACAATTCATGGAGAACCTGGCAGAATGAGCAGCCACATTCATTCCACCATCCTGTTTAACATTTACACCTCGTGCAAAAGTCAAATCAAGCAAGCAACCCTTTCTGCAACTTTCTAGAAATTGCTGGGTGCCCAGACATTCTAATTACATAGGAGACATTGTAAAAAGCTCTATTAACCTCTAATTTCCCATCTAAATAACACAAACAAAGGGGATTCCTAAACATGTGTGCAAAGAGTGACGATCTTTCCAGACACTATGTTGTTTGTGTAGAGACAGCGCAGCCACCTCACTAATTTATTATGTGGTCTAAATAACATCTATCTAGCAAGTTCTGTAGAGAAGCTGCAGGGTCTCCAGTACTAATCAAAACACTAAAACGAGATCCTTGAGAACCACAATTCTTTCTCCAGTGAGCTCAGATATTGCATGTGAGGGCAAAAGTTTTGTGTAATGCTCTTGGCAGTGAGAACTCTCTCCACTGGGTACCTAAACCATAAGGCTGTGTATACACTATACATTTAAAGCACATTCAGAGCACATTCTTTCCCTAAAAGAATTCAGGGCACTGTAATTTGCTAAAGTTGCTGGGAACTATAACTCTGTGAGGGGAGAAACATGCAAAACCAGGGTAAGAAAGAGAATTGAATGGAGTACACTGGAAACATGACTTATTCCACATGCCTCCATGGCATGATCACCATGTTTTAGTCCATGCCCGATGTAAATTTGGTGCTTTCCTGCAAAAGAACATGATGGTTGTGAAAAATTGAGGGAATCCATGCCCTGGTCTACGTTCTCTTGGGCATTTAGAATACATGCATGAATGACAGAGGAGGGAAGTTAATTTTAGAAGTTTAAGAATATATAATGCCATAAGAAGAGCCCCGTTGGATCTAGCCGAAAGTTCATCTAGTCTAGCTTCCTGTTATCACCATAGCCAACCATATGCCTATGGGAAGCCCACAAGCACGTCCTGGGTGAAACAGCACTCTTACAACTTGCGATTCACAGCAACTGGTATTCAGAGGCACACTGCCTCTGACAGGGGAGGTCATCATGTTACAAATGAGAGAAAAGAAGGCTGGATTAACAGAGCTGAACAGTGGTAACTTGGTTTACGAACAGCCCTGTTAACGAACTATTCGGTTTACGTACTCCTCAAAACTGGAAGTAGTGTTTGCGAACTTTACCTCAGTCTATGAACGGAAGCCAAACGGTGGAAGGGCACTGGCGGCAGAGGCCTCATTAGGGAAAGTGCACCTCAGTTTAAGAACTGTTTTGGTTTAAGAATGGACTTCAGGAACGGATTAAGTTCTTAAACCCAGGTTCCACTGTATTCCAAAACCACTGACCATTGTTCTAACGAGATTTATCTTGTACATTTGCACTCATAACACATGTCTTTTGAAATCAGGAATCACTGCTTGGATTCCTACCTCTACTCCCAGTATTACAGTTGCTGAAAACTATAATGTTTTCCTCAATTTATATTGTTCTACTCCATGTGGGTTGGTTTTATATACTGTATTTTTGCAATGATGCGAGCTGTTTTTATAATTGTATTTTGTATTCTGCCACATGCCCTGGGACCTTATGGTGAAGGGCAGGTAAGAGAATTTCTAAATAAATAATTGGCTTTCGCCCATCTGCTGTATACTGTATTCATTTAGTGTATAACAGTCTTTATTGCACTGCCTTCTGAAGGGGTGTTTGTTTCAATAAATACAACCTGACTGTAACATTTTGCTTTTTAAGGTGTTGATCTGGTTGCACTTTTTATAGAATAGCCACAGCTCAAAACTTATCACTCAGCTCCATCTGGCTATATCAGGAGAGGAGAGGAGAGATGGCAAGGCCTCCCTTCACCAGCCTGGATGGAAGTATTTGGCCCTTTCTCTCCCACAACTGTCTCCATCAGAAGACAACCTGCCTGGCTGCATCAGAGGCCTGACCACAAGGCTCACATACACAAACCCCAACTTGGCTGGGGCCAGCTGCCAATCGGGTCTTCCCCTCCCAGAACTGTTTATTGCAATGAAACCTTCCACTTGGTCTTCATGTATTATGTGGCTTCATTACTCCACAGGTGGTCATCTTCCTCTTCCCTATCTATTCATTCCGCTTGTTGGCACTGTGTCTCATTCCAAGACATTATTTCAAAGTGCAAACTATTTTGAGTGGTTTAACTGACAGGCGGCATATAAATGTAGCATATTTAGAAATTAGTTGTCTGGATAGGTGGTGAAGTGTGTGCTGTGGAAAGGTAGGGATGCACTTCATTGGCCTTGAGTCTTCATGCCTGTAGATTTACATGCATATCTCCCTCAGCCAATAAAGCGAGATGAGCGCCGGAACCCCAGAGTCGGCTACGACTGGACCTAATGGTCAGGGGTCCCTTTACCTTTACCTTTTATACTAGGGGCAAGATGCTCCTGTCCCCTACACAGACATTTGCAACTAGAGACACAGGGGAGAGGTTTGAAACCTGAACAACTGCAGTGCACATCAAATATATTTTGAAATGGCATCTACCCCCCAAACCAGGGGTAGACAAGGTGGTGCCATTCAGACATTGTTGGGAGGAAATTGGACTTCCAATTTCTCATCAGCTCTCGTCAGCAGGGGCAATGACCAGGGATGAAGGGAGTCCAACAACATCTGGAGGGTACTAGGTAGATATGAGAGAGAGAAAATTATGGACCAAAGATTTTTGTGGGGGGTGGATTTCAACTTGAACAACTTTTAAGAGTACCTCCAAGCACCCACACATATGATGTTAGAATTTTCAGCGATCTTATAGATTGGGTTAAGGAACCTCAAGCCCAGGGGTAAATGTCATCTTCCTGGCCTCTTCACCTTGCTCCCAGGACTCTCCCCAGCCCATACCCCTCGCTCTCACAAGGCAACCCCTCACTGGCTCTGATCCACGTCTTCCTTGGGTGTTTTTGCCTGGCTAGAATGTGTCTGTGAACTGGGATATTGCCTCTTGCTTGACTGGATGAAGGGATGTGTGTGTGTGTTTGTGTGTGTTTGTGTGTGCGCGCGCACTGTGATTTCTCAATGGCCAGAATGCAGCCAAATGTAAAAAGATACACAGCTCTGCTCACTTTTGCCTTTGGCCACACCAACCAGTGGAAAAGTTATGCTATAGATTCTGACTGACTAAATCAAAGTACAAGATTCACATCTTTATTGTAGGAAAGAGCAGTTATTAGGAAAGATCTATAGGACTATGCAGACATTTACCTCCACGAGCAAACTGTACTAAGCTGTTGGTGTGTGGGCTCTCCGCGCAGTCAGCAACCCTACATAACTGGAATACCAGATCACACAAGAGCCTAAAAGCAACAGCTTGGACGAGGAGTGAGAAGTGCTGGTTGAG